CATTCTGCATTAAAATCCTGAGACAAACTATTTTTTCGATTTTTTGTCCATTTTTCTTGATAGAACCCCTTGAAAATGGGGTTTTCCCCTATTGGGTTCTCTGTGATGGCTATATTTTCCCCAATTCTTATCCGATTCTCAAGCGGAGGTCCTTAAACGATTTCTGGATCGATTCTGCACCATTCTGCGTCAAAATCCTGAGACAACATATTTTTTCAATTTTTTGTCCATTTTTCGTGAGACCCCTTGAAAATGGGGTTTTCCCCTATAGGGTCCACTGTGATAGCCATATCTTCCCCAATTCTCATCCGATTCTCAAGCGGAATACCTTAAACGATTTCTGGATCGATTGTGCACCATTCTGCATAGAAAACCCGGGAACAAATTATTTTTTAGATTTTTTGTCCATTTTTCGTGGGACCCCTTGAAAATGAGGTTTTCCTCTATAGGGTCCACTGTGATGACCATATCTTCCCCAATTCTCATCCGATTCTCAAGCGAAGTACCTTAAACGATTTCTGGATCGATTCTCCACCATTCTGCATCAAAACCCTGCGACAAAATATTTTTTCAATTTTTTTTCCATTTTTCGTGATGACCCCCTTGAAAATGGAGTTTTCCCCTATAGGGTCCATTGTGATAGGCATATCTTCCCCAAGTCTCATCCGATTCTCAAGCGGAATACCTTTAACGATTTCTGATCCGATTCTCCACCATTATGCACCAAAATCCTGAGACAAAATATTTTTTCGATTTTTTGTCCATTTTTCCTGATGGGACCCCTTGAAAATGGGGTTTTGCCCTATAGGGTCCACTGTGATGACCATATCTTCTCCAATTCTCATCAGATTCTCAAGCGGAGTACCTTAAACGATTTCTGGGACCCTGAGACAAAATATTTTTTAGATTTTTTGTTCAAATTTGTTGATTGAACCCCTTGAAAATGGGGTTTTCCCCTATAGGGTTCACTGTGATGGCTATATCTTCCCCAATTCTTATCCGATTCTCAAGCGGAGTACCTTAAACGATTTCTGGATCGATTCTGCACCATTCTGCGTCAAAATCCTGAGACAACATATATTTTCAATTTTTTGTCCATTTTTCGTGAGACCCCTTGAAAATGGGGTTTTCCCCTATAGGGTCCACTGTGATAGGCATACCTTCCCCAATTCTTATCCGATTCTCAAGCGGAGTACCTTAAACGATTTCTGGATCGATTCTGCACCATTCTGCATTAAAATCCTGAGACAAACTATTTTTTCGATTTTTTGTCCATTTTTCTTGATAGAACCCCTTGAAAATGGGGTTTTCCCCTATTGGGTTCTCTGTGATGGCTATATTTTCCCCAATTCTTATCCGATTCTCAAGCGGAGGTCCTTAAACGATTTCTGGATCGATTCTGCACCATTCTGCGTCAAAATCCTGAGACAACATATATTTTCAATTTTTTGTCCATTTTTCGTGAGACCCCTTGAAAATGGGGTTTTCCCCTATAGGGTCCACTGTGATAGCCATATCTTCCCCAATTCTCATCCGATTCTCAAGCGGAATACCTTAAACGATTTCTGGATCGATTCTGCACCATTCTGCATCAAAACCCTGGAACAAATTATTTTTTAGATTTTTTGTCCATTTTTCGTGGGACCCCTTGAAAATGAGGTTTTCCTCTATAGGGTCCACTGTAATGACCATATCTTCCCCAATTCTCATCCGATTCTCAAGCGAAGTACCTTAAACGATTTCTGGATAGAACCCCTTGAAAATGGGGTTTTCCCCTATTGGGTTCTCTGTGATGGCTATATTTTCCCCAATTCTTATCCGATTCTCAAGCGGAGGTCCTTAAACGATTTCTGGATCGATTCTGCACCATTCTGCGTCAAAATCCTGAGACAACATATTTTTTCAATTTTTTGTCCATTTTTCGTGAGACCCCTTGAAAATGGGGTTTTCCCCTATAGGGTCCACTGTGATAGCCATATCTTCCCCAATTCTCATCCGATTCTCAAGCGGAATACCTTAAACGATTTCTGGATCGATTCTGCACCATTCTGCATCAAAACCCTGGAACAAATTATTTTTTAGATTTTTTGTCCATTTTTCGTGGGACCCCTTGAAAATGAGGTTTTCCTCTATAGGGTCCACTGTAATGACCATATCTTCCCCAATTCTCATCCGATTCTCAAGCGAAGTACCTTAAACGATTTCTGGATCGATTCTCCACCATTCTGCATCAAAACCCTGCGACAAAATATTTTTTAGATTTTTTGTCCTTTTTCTTGATGGAACCCCTTGAAAATGGGGTTTTCCCCTATAGGGTTCACTGTGATGGCTATATCTTCCCCAATTCGTATCCGATTCTCAAGCGGAGTACCTTAAACGATTTCTGGATCTCCACTTTCTTTCCACCATTCTGCATCAAAACCCTGAGACAAAATATTTGTTAGATTTTTGTACCTTTATTAGATTTTAGTTGTGTTTCCTTGTATTTTGCCAAAAATAAAATCCACTTAAGGGAATTTGAAACCTTTTGAAAATCTGAATGCAATATCATATGTGAATCAGAACTTCAAACATGAACAATCGATAAAATGGACAGAAAGGCCTTATTTAATCAATTTAGTTGGTAGGCTTGTAAGGGAAATAAGGTAATTTAGTTCTTATCAAACTATCCTTTCAATTATAGTTTCTATGTCTTTCACTTTGGCTATGAAAATATCGATTGATTAGCTGAACCCGGCCAGCACTCGTGACAACCCATTAGGACATTCTCGTATTTTTCCCCAGTCCCGAGAGCCAAGGTCCGGGAAAAATCAAATTACTCCATTTGCATACAGAAACCGGGGACAGTGGGGAGTGGGGCTAATGAAAGCGGAGCAGAGGATGTATTATGCAGTGTACAGTGTACATTGTACCATGTATATGCATAAATAGTTGACACCCCTCCGGGCACCAGGGACAAGGCCCTTCCCCTTGGAATCGCATTACGAGGAACTCGCTGCGCACCACGTGGCGTATGAGTAACGCAATGCCTTATTAAGCCACAAAGAAATTAATAGCAAGCTGAGGCTGGATTACTGCGTAAAAAATAGCCCCACTAAAGGCAAACTATTTTCGCTTGTTTAATCTTTATATTTAGTCGTTTGTACGTTCAGGGCCCTTATTGCTGTTCGACACAGAAATGTAAATGAAATTTACTAAACGAATTTTCTTGTTAAGCGGCGCGAATGGCCACGCCCCATGCCGAGAGTATTTGGAGTGCAGCCGAGGGGCGGTGGTCTAAGGGCGGGTTGTTCGTTGACAAGCCCTAATGCCTTTTCTGGCAACAGCGACAAGCGACAGGCGACACATTTCTGCATGCAATGGAAGAGTTTGAGGGTTAAAGTATTTAGGAAGAAAGACTTCGTTCCTAAAAGGAATTTTTGCCAATGCATTTAAAAGTTCAATTTTTACAAATAGATTGGGATATTTATTTTTTTACTGTGTAACACTAGCGGCCAGCGAATGGCGGACCACTTGACAGCCGCAGGCTTAACATGCACACAAGTCCTTTGCCGCTGCCGCTGTTGCCTTTGTTGTTACTCTTGTTGTTTGTGATAGTCCTACTATTGTTGTTGTTATTGGAAGAACAACGCACACTTGGCTTGTCTTTTGTTTCACAAACAAAGCAAACTGGGAGGCCCCAGGAAGGATGTCCGGGCAATGTGGGGAAATGGGAGGCCATAACGGCAGCAAGCCATAAATCAATTGGTAGCGTAGAAAAATTGCAGAAAATTACTTGATATTTACGGTCAGTGAACACACAATAGAGTCGACAGTAGGCGTCTTCCGCCTCACCTTCCGTCCCTCCTGTGTGGGCCCTCTTCGGGGCAGAGAAAGCAACAAGTTCTATCCGGCATCGGTGACACTCAGGGACAGCGACAGGACATTTGCTGGCTATAATTACACTTGTACCTTGCCGAGGGCCACATGTCGTATTAGTAATAAGTGCCAAGGCCAAGGGCGTCGCACAAAAGGGTTTATTGTCGGGCAACAACAAGGTATTTGAAATGGGCGTTTTCTTTCTTCTTGACTTTAAGAATAGCCCATTGAAAATTATTATTTTCATCGGAAAGACAGCCCCTGTCAAGGGACATCCATGGTATCCATCAGATGATACTCTTGTCTGTTTGTTTCTCTCCGGGAACAGCCTCCCACTGTGGTGGAGCTGTGGCATGGGGCTCTGCCTGTAATTATTCTGTCATCCGAGGTGTGCTCCAAAGCCGGAGGTGGACTGGAGTGGGAAGACACAAGCCAGGCGACCAGGCAACCAGCTGGCCTTGCCCTCTGACCTGGCGCCGTTGTTTATAGCCATTGTGAGCTGTACATGTAACGTAATTGCATTGTTGCCGTTGTAATTACAGGCAAACATGCAGTTAATTAAAATCATTAAAATGCCTTCTGCCGTCAAGCCACTGAGGGCTGAGCTAAAGCTACCGATTTCAAGACAGCCGGCAGTGCTTTAATTTCCGTCGCCCCAGTGACAGGCAGGACCAGCAGGATGTGCAGGAGTCCCCCCAACACTGGCGCCCAACTGTCACAGTGTGAGCAGAGCGCAAATTATTTTGGCTTCAGCTTTTGGCCTTTTTACGTGCCTGGTACAGACTCGGCACAAGTCGAGGATAAAAAACAACAGAAGCCGAGAAAAAACGTGGCCTGTAGCTCCTCAGACTGACGCATGTCGTCTGGCACGTTTTTTTGGCTTGCACCCCGACGGAATCCATTGGCAACAAATACGCGTGGTTTGATTTTGATTAATGCCCCAACAGTCGCAAGTCAGGCAAATGATTTTAACGCCCTGCCAACATTCCAAAGTGACAAGCTCGTGTAAAAGTCAAAAAACACATATATAATATGTGTCAATCGGAGGAGGTCGAGGGTCGCCTTGTCAACTGCAGACACGCCAGAATGTAAGGCAGAACCCTTAAATAGTTAATTCCGTCGAGTTGACTTTATTCAAGGGTTCAAGGCAACTCGAACGGCACCTCATACGAATCGTACACTATCAGTAGGGCCTTCTGGAGCAGCGTAACTCCCTTAAGCTGTTGATTCGAGTAACTTTCCAAACAAAGCAAGCCCAGCTCCATGCGGCATTTCGAACAGTAGACGTTCTGGAACTTCTCTCCATTCGTTACTCGAATCTTGTCCTCCAGGATCAAGTTGTAGGTGGTGGTTAATAGGACATCATAACGAGTCTCACCCAGTTTACAGGACTTGTAGCTGATGATATTTCCACATTTAAGACAGGCAAAAGCCACCTTGTAGCCTGACATTTTGGGAAGAGTCGACACTAATATGGATATATCCTGGCAGTTATTATGCAGCCTGCTAATTTATTGGCTTTCTGCTTTGCAAGATAGAGTACCTCACATTTATTTAATTTCTAAGTGCCTCATATATTTAATTCCTGGAATTTCCCACAAACATCTAAGCGATTTTCATTTCAAAAATTTCTCTGTTATTTGGGAATGGGAATCAAGAAAATTAACCAACTTATTTCATAGTTTGAGGCATGTGTCCTGGCCCAGAAATGTTTCCCCTTCATTAATAACCGGAGCTATTGATGGCAAATCATTTGTGCTAAGTTGGCCCATCATTAAGGACGAACAATCGAAAGGCACATAAAGCATATTTTATGTTCATTGGCAAAGTTGATTGCAAACACAATGCCGTATTCATGGCCAGAGCACTATCCTGCATCCTGTTCCTGCGCTCTCTCTCCACAGGCTCCTAGATAATTAATGAGTTTAGTCTGGGTGTACCATAGTGGGGGCTACCTAGAGGATACCGAAAGCAAAGTGTTGCCATCATCGTCATTTGTTTATGCGTGTCTGTTTGCAGCTGTTATTTTATTCAGGCTCTCGCCTTGAATATAATTTGGGCACGTGCTTCAGATTCCTTTACAATATACATACGTATATGTGGGAGACCTTGTGAAGCCGGAAACAGAGCAGGGGACTGCCATTTCCACCCCTGGCTTATTCCCAAATAATTGCTAGCATTTGTCTTTCCCAGATAATAAGATATATGTATGTATAAAACAAACTACCGATTCCAAATTCTAACTGGCGCCCAAGCAGTAACGATGCTAATTAAAAATGTATTTCCTCCGAGTGCCAAAAAGGTGTAATAACAAATCAACTCGGGTGCGGTTTAGCAAAGAAAATTAATTCGAAGATATAATTCAACTTTATGACTTTGGTTTATAGGAGATTTTTGTTCGACATAGTTCGACCTCAATTAGAAGCTTTCAAGTCTGAGGATTAGGAGTTTCTAGAGAGATATCACAAGTTCAAATTCCTCTAGTTTTAAAACTTCTCCCAAGTGGTCCAACTAACACAACAAATTAATGAAAACCAAGCTGAACATTCCCCAAGTTATCAAAGTCTTGGCTCTGAATTTTGTTGGCTGCTCCATTTTCCATTTCCCAGCATCCCCTTCGAACCAAATTGATGAAAACGAAAATGATGTTGACTTCTTCTGGCTAAAAGGATGGGGCAGCAGGCGGCAGGGCTTGGCTGTCGATGCGGTTAGCGCTGCCTTTTTGGCCAAATAACAGAAAACAGAAAGCGGCGGCAGGCAAACAGAATGGGGAAAGCTTTTAGCAGATACTTTACGCAAATCCCATGGGAAAACATTGGCCCACTTTGAGGAGGAAAAGTAAAGGAAAGTAAGGAAGCGAAGCAGCCCCATCATTAAAAGTTAAAAAGGATTTTCAACGGATTTACGAATTTGAAGCTCAGCCCGAAAGACAAACAAAGCCATCAATTTACATATGCTAGCAGGTCAGAGGACCAGAAGCTCCCACCAAAAACTCACTTATATAAATTCTCAAAAAAAAATAACAAAAATTTAAGATGTGCCACAGAGCGCCGCAAAATATGCAACTAACGCGCAAGGGGGCGGGTCTGCTGTACTGTACTGGGCCGTAGAAACAAAGCCAGGCCAAGACTGTCAAGTATTCGTCCTTCCACAGCCCCCGCCCCAGCTTTAAGGCCCCCATGATTTCCACTCGTAGTCCTCGTCGCAAGGACCTTGAGTTGTGCCTTCCTTGCCTTTTGCCTTTGTTGTGCTAAACTTGTGGATTAGCTAAATGCAGGCGAGGCATGCCACGGCATGCAGGCGACTTTATCCACCAACCATACTGCCACTGCCACCGCCACACCTCCCCCTGTGGAAGAGACGCCCACTTAAACCTAAACATTTCGCCTTGTTGAGTTTTTATGAGCTGCTCATGTTGGCGTTTCACTTTTCTTCCATTCCAGCCTGCTCTTTCATTTACTTACACCTGATGTTCAGCTTATTTTTACCTGTCCCTGAAGGAGCTCTGAGAGCCAAGGTGATGGGGTGTCCTTACACTTTTTTTCTTAAGATACGGTCCACAAGCACAATATTTTCAAACTTCTTTTGGGGATAATGATATTGGTAATAATACTTATGTTTTGTACAACTAAATATAGCCAAACAAGTATGTTAATTCAAATATCTAACCTTTAAAGCTGAAACTTATTTGGACCTTTAGCTGTAAAATTGCATGAGTTAATTACATTATCTTGTCATTCGTGAAATTCCTTGTGCGGAATGCGAGGTCATAGATTGCTTTGAGGATAGCCAGTGCTCCCGTGAGTCCTGTCCCCGCGCCCATGTCCCATAGTCCCTGCCGTCAATTGAATGCATTTAATTAAAATACATTTGGACACAGCTCACGAGATTCAATACCTATCTGTCCCCTAATGAGGGCCCTTTGATGACCTCCACATTTCTCACGCCTCCGTTCGATTGCCTGGGCAGTCCCACGCCCTCCGTTCCTGGCCAAGAATCAAAATCACTTGAATGCAATAGGCCGGAATAATTTGAGAGAAGAGGGGACCGGCATGGCCCAGAGTCAGGCCCCTTGGGCCCCAAGGAGGCGTACTCAATGGGGCGTTAATGAAATAATTAACGCATAAATACAATTTGCTGGTCAGAGTTCAAGGAAGCAAGGACGTCGGACCGCTCAAAGGGCCCAACAAATTCACCACAACTGCTACAAAGCCATCAATTTGCTGGCCATCCTACTCGGAACTTGGAAACCCTACTCCCCCCCTTTCAAGTCAGTGAAGCATGCAATTTGCTGGCTTATTTATGGGGCCCAAGATGGTCACGCCGAAGGAAGAAGTCCATCCACCCACCCGTCTTGCCATCCTAACATCCTACCACCATCCGACGGAAGTATGAGCCAAACTTTTGCAAAATAAAAGTTTTCCGCTATTTGATTTGTTGGTCATTCGGTTTTCCAGTTTAGCCCAAAATCTATTGACCCAAACCCAAGGAAAACCAGTTAAAAGCATTACCCGCAAAAGCTCGAGAGAGAGAGATATCCAAATATATATATATCTATATTATAAATCCACTGACAATAAAATTCAGCAACTGTTTGCCTTGCACATCCTGCTGCGCTTTTGTTTGTCGAGCAGCGAAAATTTACAATTGCAGCACAGGATGTTCGCCGTTGGCCAGGATGCGCTAAAAATGGCTGCACTTCCTTTTTTCGGCTGCTCCATGCCACAAAACTCGGGAATTAAAGCCCCAACGCTCAACGCCTTTAAGGTAACACATGCTCTTTGTGGCAGACAACCTTTTTGTGGGGTGTGTGTTTTTTTTTCAGGACACCCCTAGAATTTACTTTTGATGTGTTGGCCGGGATTGTTTGGCCAATCAAATGAGTGGCTCTAAAAATACCCAGGCCCGGGACTGAATACCCATTTCACTTGTCAAGAGCAGAGATACTACACATCGACATGGACGTTCCCGTTCTCAGTTCTCAGTTCCCAGTCTCATTGGTTTTGGAACCTTGTAGTGGTTTGCGGCATTCGTGTCCTTTGTGAGGACACAAGGAAAAAACTATAACTAAGCAGAAGAGGTCTGTAACTTTTGAAGTAGACTCGTATGATAACTTTACATAGTTCATTTTAATAGAAAGTCTACAAATCTTCATTTTTATTTTAGTATTTTATAGAAAAAATGTGTAAAAAAACATATAATATGAACTTATAGTAAAAATATATATTATTTCCAGTGCATAGAGAAACCGTTTGCATGTCCTGGATTGCCGGCAAGCAAACAATAAACATTATTATGACTGGCACTGTCCGTATCCAAGTGCCGGGCACTTTATGCTGACTTCGAAAGGGAAAGGCGACTGTGCCGGCAGATGGGGTCGGATAAGAGCCGTAGTCCGAGCCCAATGGCCGGAGACCTGAGTCCGAGACCGAGTTAAGAGGCTGGCTGGACCATCTCCGACATAAAGTTTCATGACGTTAAGTGGATGATTATTTGCGATTACATGACGGCCTCCAAAGCAGGCACACGGATACGTATATCGCATGGGGATTCGAATGCGGGCACATCCTTGATGCGATGGACATCCGCACACATCGCTGGCTTTGCTGGCGATTTAATGAAGGTCCTTTGGTGTTTACTGCCTCTCCTTTTGATTTTCCCCACACCACCCTACACACGTCTCCCTCGCAGATGATTATGTGTTAATGTTCATTGCACGCGTATATTTTTTTATATCGATTGCCAAATTGGCTGCTAACAATTGATGTATGATGGCAATTACAAAACATGCATTACTCATCCAGTTGGCCGGGTCCGGGCCAAAAGTTTCCTCATAAATGCGACTCGTAAATCTTTGTCGATGCTTACAATAGTTCTCTTTTTTGAATGCAATGAGGGTACACATTTTTTTAAGGAGGGGAGAGTCCCACCAATCGAGGCATTCAGCAACAGCAAAAGCCATAAACATGGGTCACTATTGTCCACCATGGATGCGCGTTTCTGGCTCCGACCACAACTGCGACTGCGACTGCGGCTCGGGATGTGAATGGGAATGGGGGGGAAGTAGTTGTGGATGTGTAAGATGGGGGCTACTGATGGCGGATGCTGTTTGGAATACATATGTATGGGAAATGTAAAGCACAAATAGCTGCTGGCCCAGTTTCAGAAAATCAAATACCATCCGGGCTCCGCCCGATTTAAAGTTAAATACGAGTCCTGCCTTAAAGAAATCAATAAATTACTCATTTCCTTCGCTGTTCTCACAAAAGGAAAACAGAATCCACTTAATTTTAATTTACACCCGAACTCTGGATAAATCATGGCCACGTCATGCATAAATTTACGATGAACAATGGCAAGAAAAAGTGTCTGTTCGTTGCTTTTCTTCTGCCTTTTATCGATGGCAAACGGGAACGATACTGGCAAGGATACTGGAGAAGTGGGACAAAAGAATTCGCCCCCAATTAGACGGATACAAGCCGTACTATACTATGTACACGGATTAAATGGAATAGACATGTTTAATCAGGTTCAGGTTCGGTATTTCCATCTCCCCTCCCTATAGAAATGAAATGTAATCTTGCTCTTTCCTGGGCGTCGTTTGTCTGCCGCGACGACGCTTCAATTTAAGAAATTAATGCGAGTTTCTTCGGTTTTTTTTGTTCTTTATTTTTACGGCTTGCCAGCGGGCGCGGCCAATAAATCCACGCCTCACATGCCCCGCGGCGCTCGTCGGCCCCTCCTGGTGGAGATAGACCAGGAGCATGGCAGATGACCTGGCTCCGGAGCTGCCCCACCCGAAAATTTGAGCCAAGCCCCGGGTCGGGCCTCCAGGGCCTCCTGGGCTACGGTAACGGATGCGGCGCACAAAAATTCTGCCAAAAAAAATTACGTTAAAAGGAAAATTTTTGCTCGAGACACGGCCAAGTCGCGTATTTGATGCGCTATAAATGAATAATTTAGGGGAAAAGTAAATTTAAAGCGAAAATAAAAGGAAAAGATGGGCCATCAACAAATTTACAAATGACTGAAGATGTTTCTTGGGACTACAGGTCGTATGAGTAATGTTGCGGAAAGACTTAAGGGCTTAAAGTGTCTTCTTTTTAAATATTTAAGTTATTTTGGAAGCTCTCATACTTATTTGCTCTTCCTTTCTATTTTTATAGAATGTTTAAAGTGTTTTTTATTTATTTATAAGACATAACAAATGTTTAAGTATATACGTATACGTAATATTGATATAATGGTAAGAAAAACTTGTGCAAAACATTTAAAAAATAATCCAAAGGCAAGTAACTATCCTTTTTAGCTTTTATTTTACAAAATTTTACAAAATTTTTATGGAAAATTTTGTTTTATTTCACACTTTATCCTTGAGATTTTTAACTTTCATTTATTAAAAAATTAATATCAGCTATAAATTACTTCATACTTTTTAGGAATATTTTATTTAGGAGAAACCATTCTAACTGATGTGTATAACTTGAAGAGCTCGTCTCGAATTCCACTTTTCATGCAGGTCCTTTTTATTGCCGTGCCTGGCATTGTTGTTGGTCTTTAATTGCGGACGTCAGGGCGCAGGCACTGGCACTGGGACTGGTGCTGGCACAAGCATAGGCAACGTTTTTACGGCCTTTTGTACGGATGCCGACGCCAGCCGAGGTCAGGGGTGAAGGAGCGATAAGGAGGCAGGAGCCACACAGCGAACAGTGACTATAAAACAGACAAAACAGACCCGAGCAGGGTGTGGGGCATGCAACGCCACCACCCGCGGACGAATCAGTGGGTGGCACGTGTTCTGGGGAGCACGAAAGTTTTTCAATTAGTTGACCGGAGAGGGAAAGTTGCTGGGAGAAAGTCAGGCAAGCAGGGATGAGCCCTGGATAGGGCCTGGGCAGGCTTCATTAGAGTTGTTTGCTGGACGATTTGGGAGCTTTCCATGTGGACGTTTAGGCAGTCAAGTAGCGTTATTCCCTTGTTTTTCCTTAATTAACAAGAAATCTGACCGAATCCCTTAACAGACAGGGAAGGGATGCCCTACTTTATTAGAATTGATTCCAATAATATTATGCCAGATCCCGTTGCCGTCCAATTAAGTTTTCATATAATTGACAAAAGCGGAAATTGACTTTGCTAATTTCCGCACAATCTGTCATTGGTTTATATGTATGTATTACTTAATACATTATGTATTTATATTAGTAACAGACCGAAATGTGTCCCTCTTTTTGGGGGGATCTGACAATGAACCGATAGGAAACCATTTCCATCAATCTGGGGGTTGAACTGTTTTGGGGACCCTCGCCTCTGGAATTTACTGCAAATATTTGGGGAATGTTACGTATACGGAAAATTAACATAATTACAGCTTGCAACCCTTTTTTCGTTGGGGGGTTGGCAGGTAGTCATGACAACGAACAGTCCCCCAAATGAACCCCCATAACCCCCAAAAACCCAGCATCGTAATAATTTCTTTGCATTTGCTTTTTACGAGGCAGCAGAGATAGAGACAAATGGGGGGTGAAAGAAAGGACGAGAGAGGATGTTGTGTAGTCTTTCCAGCGAGCCGAGGAAATATAAAAAAGAGAGACCCTCAACCGCTCGATCTCCCCACGCGCAGCGCATAAATTTACTTGTTAAACAACCCACCGAACCAGGCAGAGGTTCGAGAGCAGTGGTTACCAGGATCCTGGGGAAAATGGGAAATTCGGGGTGCTTAGGGGGTGGCAGCTCCAAGCCCCTGGGCTCAACCGCAACCCAGCTGCCGCTCATCAAAGTTGCATGGGTTGAGGGTGGAATGGGTGTGTGGGGAATGGGGATGGAGGGTGGAGGAACCGCTGGCGAAAGTAAAACCAAACAAAGCATGCCAAAAATTATCTCGGTCACTTTTCAAATACACGTTCTCTGCCTTCCCTTACTTTCCATTAAACAGGTTGTAGGGTTTGAGGGTTTTCACTGAAAAAGAAAATTTTAATAAATGTATAATGTAGAAACTAATTCTTACCTTACTCCTTGCTTTCGTTTAAGACTCTCAAAATCTTTATCATTTGTTATAAAATATAAAAAATGGCTTATTTGTTAAAGACCCGAATATCTATTTCCGTTTCAATTAGTATAAATAAAGCAATGAAATGCCCAATTTAATTTGATATTTTTCACAACATTTAGCTTTTTTAGCTAAATGCCAATTTAATTAGAGACCATTTGCCTATTTATGAAAAGTATCCATTTTCGGGAAATTGATATCGGAGATGATTTTTCCCGTGCAGGGAAACGACGGATCCGTCGCCGCTTTCACCACAGATCCGCTTTGTTCCCTCGCTCAAGAGCTGGAGACCACCACGAAGCTTCCATTCCATTCATGGGGTCAATGGTTTTCGTCTCGTGAATCTGCTACCCTAATTTTCTGTCGGGGACTTTTCCCACCCACTTTCAAGTTTTTAAGTATATGTATAAACTGTTGTTGAATACTACTAACCACACCCCCCGACCGACAGCCCTCGCTGGTGGCCACGTTGACAACACTGTTTACCTAATGTACCGTTAAGCTGCGCACTTGATGCCGTTATCTTTGCTCTCTTTTTTGTCCCTCCCCATCGGCAAGGAAATTATTTTCTTAATTTGAGGGCAAAAGCGAAAAGTTGGGGCCCTGACTTTAAAGTATTTAACAACAATATATGTAAAGGAAGATGGAAAATGTATGCCAGCATCGAATTTAAATTGCTGGCTTTCTGGACGAACTTTGGCAGCCAGTAAAAGTTTTTTCATTTGCCCGGGCAAACAACAATAATGGCAATGAGCATGAAATCATAATAATAACCGAGGGAAACAAAAGCGAAAAAGTTGTAAACTTTGTTGCTGCTGTTTATGATGTCCCGGAGCTTATTTAATCGATAATACCAAATGATGTCCCGAGACATAAGGCGCAGTAACGTAACTATGGCCCGGGTTTCAGTTACCTGCGGAATTTCCAAAGGAGAATAGATAGTGAAGTAGGTGATGAAAACGGGGGGCGGTGACTGGGGCTGGGAAAGAGCCTTGGCTGGATTAAGGTGAGGTGGCTGGGGGACTAAGCGACAGTAAAGGGATTTCATTGCCGTCACTGAGCTCGGCAAGGTGAAATTTCCGAGCATGGCGAAAGGCCGACAGGGAAAACCTTCGCCAGCTTCACACGCATGCCACGCCTAATGCACTGCCTCCGTCCCCTTTGACTGCTTTCCACTGGCAACCCCTTTTAGCAGGTTAAGGTCAGCAGCAGCAGCAGCAGCAACAGAAGCGGCAACAGCAGAGGCAGCAACGTTTGCCGCAATTTTATGCTGCAGACATCTGCATTAACAATGGCAATGAAATGCAGTCAGAGCCGAGCTGGGCAGTCCAGAGCAAGAGCAAGAGCAAGAGCCGAGCAGGATCAGGAGCAGGAGCAACCTCCGTCCGTGTCGTTTAGCCGTAAACGGATTTATAGCAGCTGCTACATCTGCTGCAGCTTTTGCCTTGAAAGTGGGCGGCATTTCAAGGGCGCACTCCTGGCACTCGTATATGTTGTCATTATTTTTAATCCGACATATTCCTTGGTGGGCTATGTGGGGAATTAGCGCACAGGCATTTGCTTTAAATACCGGGAATTTGTGCTTCCCTAAAAGAATAACTACAAGAGCAAGCCACAAAGGCGCCTTTTCTTCCTTTTTTTTTGACTCTTAGCTGGGTACGTTGCTCAAGTGGTGCTATAGAAAATATTTCTTGGCCTCATAGGGAATCTTTGTCAATGTCAGCCATTATGAAGGTCAATAGCTGCGACAAACTACATGAATCAGCAATAGCCAAATTGGTTAGACTAGAGAAAAAAGTTATAGTACACATATATATATAAAGAAATGTTGTTTTTATTGGCGATTTATTAGAACTTGCATTAAATCGTTTGATGATTCTGAATAAATTCTGATTGGATGTTTCCAATAATGCTTGAAATGAAAAACATAATTACTAAGCAATAAGTACTATAAGTAAATTACTATAAGTACTATAAGTATATATGAGTACATTTAAATTTGAAAGTAATCAGACGTTACATTTTTCCGCTGTGCATGAACACTGTCGCCATCTAGCGTTAGGATAGGCGTTTTTTTCGATAAATGGTAAGTAATTATCGATATTTGCAAATTTCACTTATTGTTTATTCACCACTAGCAACTGTAAATATAACGCACAATTTGCTACAATAGTTTAATTGGCTTGCTTGAAACGTGTTACATTTTTTAATATTCTAGTAGCTTATGTTTAAAAAACAAATAAGTTGCCAGCACTGTGTTGCCCTGCCAAACATCGATACTACCAATATTTTTAAACCATCGATGTTTCTCCATCTCACATCTCTAAGTCTTTCTTTCTTTTTTTCAACATGGCTGATCAGGTAAGGTTTTTAAAAACGCGTTAACAATAAATGAAAATTAGGCGAGGAAGCCTGGAAAAAGCGAAATGGGAACGGAAGAGTGAGTGATTGCTTGCAAATCAATGGACCGGACTGTGAAATATCTAGCAAACAACTGAAGGGAGTCAGAGAAGATGCGCCCTAACCCTACTTTTGCACATGCTGTCTCACAATGTGTACACGAAATGTATATTCCAGCAAACTGAACGAGCTTTTCGCAAGCAGCACGCGGTTGTTGTGGTGCGCCGCAAGAATCCCAACTTGAAGAAACGGCCACGCTTCTATCGTCAAATTGGCCTGGGCTTCCGAGCTCCGGCCGAGGTAAGAGATGCGGAGCAAACCGTTCTAATGTTGCGTCCCCCGTTTGTTTCCGTTTCATTGCCCCTGCACGCTGATTGTTGTTCCCGCCTGGCCATCGAACTCCACCTGATCCCGCCTGCCACCCCGAACCCGATTCCAAACTAACCAGAACGAGCGCGCCTTCCAAAAACAATTCGGTGTGAACTTGAACCGTAAGGTCAAGCCCGGCATCACCAAGAAGAAGGTCCTGCGCCGTTACCGCGATGTTGGTCTGGGCTTCAAGACCCCCCGTGAGGTGATGCTAGAAACTTTCCCACCTGAGCGCCACTGAATTCCCTTACTAATCTGTTGGTTCCTCTTTTAAACAGGCAATTGATGGCACCTACATTGACAAGAAGTGCCCCTGGACCGGCGATGTGAGGATTCGTGGCCGCATCCTGACCGGTGTTGTCCGCAAGGCTAAGATGCAGCGTACCATTGTCATTCGTCGTGACTACCTGCACTTTGTGCGCAAATACAGTCGTTTCGAGAAGCGTCACCGAAACATGAGCGTCCACTGCTCGCCCGTTTTCAGGTAATAATACAAATTTAATTGATTCAGTGCTCAGCCATACTTCTTTGATGATAAAATCATGACGGTCTTCATAAAACAAATTGCTGAAGAACCTTGACTCTTTTCACAAAATGTGAAAATACTGACACATTTCAAATAATCTATTATGATTTTTTACAAATGAGCTCTTATTAAAGTATTTTTTATATTTCTATTGTTACAGGGATGTTGAGCAAGGCGACATTGTCACCATTGGTGAGTGCCGTCCTCTGTCCAAGACTGTGCGCTTCAACGTTCTGAAAGTGAGCAAGGGTCAGGGAGCCAAGAAGAGCTTCAAGAAGTACTAAATGTTGCGGACGACTATTCGGAAAAGATAATATTTGTAGCATTTATTCTTTTTGAATAAAACTAAAATGTAAATTTACCCTTTCTTGACCCGTTTTTAGTTTTTCAGGCAGTTTCAGGTTTACGAGTCTTCATTTCCAAAGCAAAGGTGTGTATTTAAAGAAAATTCTCATTAAAAATATTTAAAATTGGCATTCTGATGATAAAATCATGACGGTCTTCATAAAACAAATTGCTGAAGAACCTTGACTCTTTTCACAAAAGTGAAAATACTGAAATTTATCAAAAGAAATGTTATTTTTAAGATTACTGATGAAAATAGGCTAATCATTGTCTCCTTTTTTGCAGGTTTGAATGCTGAGATCTAGACGATTTGAATGCCATTACTTGTTGAATTTATAATTCCAATATTTTAATAAACATTGAGTCTTAACTTGAAATTAAAATTGATTTTTGTTGGGGGTATTTAATAAAATAAACTTATTGGGTTCCTCTTGTATTGCCAAATACAAGAGCAAAGTTATTTATTGCTATACATGACATATTCAATATTCGCGCCAAGCTTTCACACATCCAGTATTGTAAAACTTTTAAAAAGTTCACAACAGGCACTTGCTAATTAGTACCTGGTAACATTGAAAAGGAAAAACAACAACAAAATGGAAACTGGACCAAATGCAGAAATAGGTAAAATATTATTTATCATTATTTTCCACCAACAAACTGCATGGTACGGCATGGTTGTAGTTAGGAATGCAGTCGGGACTAAAATCTATTGAAAATTAAAAAAAAAATGAATATGTGTTCCGCTTGCAGAGCTTCTGGAGCGCGTTCTTTTGCGCCTTGGAAATACAGACTCCGATGAAAAACTGGAGGCTACGGTGGGAAAATTCTTGGCCCCCGTAATCCTGAAGATGAACTCGCCCCACACCGCGGTTCGCACAAAGGCAAGTGATCTGGTCAGGCCGGGACTAACAAGGAGATTTCTCCCCCCTCTCCAAGCGTGACGCTGCAAAATTTGGCTGAGTAATGCAATTCGAACCCTTTCCGTTGACAGGTTGTGGAGGTTTTGACCCACATTAAACGTCGCCTCACCTCCAGAGGACAGGTCCAGATCCCCGTCGAGGCTCTGCTGGATCAATATGCCGCCGAGGACAGTAGCACTTTCCTTAAAAACTTCGCCATCATATTTATTGCCATGGGATATCCACGTCTTCCGCTGGAGGAGCAGACCGCTTTGGCAAGAAAAGTAGTGGGCAGCGAGAGTAAGCTGGAAAACTATCAGGACAAGTTGTTTTCGCTGCTGCTGCCCATTCTGTCAGACATAAAAATCCCGGACGATCCGGATAAGCGTTCAAAGCTCCTGGAGCTTGAAAACAAGCCGATCATTAGTGCGAACTTTCTATCCCTGCTGCAGGATGTACTGCTTCTCCCGTACGGCATCACGCAGGACCAAGAAGTTCCCCCGGGACTCAGTCCTTTCAGTTTTAAGCGAATCATTGCCAATAATTGGCGTGCCGAAGATCTAGAGAAGGTTAAAAAGGGAATCGTTCGTTTCCTTTGTGGCAGTGTTTTTACGGATGTGCAAATCTTTGTGCCCCTGGTGGTGGCGTCTGCAGACACTAGATTCAGTGTAGCCACTCCGGCTATCGCAGAGCTGAGCAAACTGTGCACAATGCTGGACTTTAGCAATCCCGCTGTCACGTCTCCTTTGTATATCCTCTTTGCTGGCAACCAGAACAAGCTGACGGATCGCCAGACGAGACCGTGTTGCGCCAGAGTTCGCCAGAAGCTGCTTCAATACCTCATCAAATGCCGCGGCAAGAGCATCAATGTAACTAAAGGACTTCAGGTTATCTTCGACGGTTTATTCGGGACTAATACCAATCAAAAATGCAAGGTGCTGGCTTTGCAGTTTGTGGAACTAGTGCTCAAAGAGTAAGCTGAATATTGTACTAATTTTGGAAAAATAATTCACCCCTATCACCATTTTTTCTAGTGGTCCCAAGGAATTAGTCTCCAAAGTATCGAAAGTAATCTTAACCGGCATCACTAAGGTCATTGGACGCGACTCCACCGAACCCATCGATGTGCAGAATGCGGCGTATTCAGCATTAGCTCAGCATGCCCGCAGTTTTCCTGAGGACGTCAGTCAGGACCTTAAGCTGGTTCTGGGATACTTCAACAACCTAGCGAGTAGTGCACCCGAACTGCACTCATCCATTCGCGAGGCCCTTGTGTCCATGGCCCCAGCTTTTGCATGGAAAACAAAAGAAAAAACAGATGCAATGGAGGTGGACGAAGACACCGATCCGGCCACTGTTAAGTTGGACGGTCAGCAGCATTTGCTCTTGGCCATGCTTCTGGACAATGCAGAGTCTAAGATCCAGATTGTGCAGAATGTCACAAGCGTGTTTCTGACCAGCTGTTACCCTGAGTATTATGCTCCCGCCAGATACTTGTTGCTTCTTATTGCAGGAGAACGGTTAGTGGAAGTGAAGTTTAAACAAGAATCAATAACACAACTATCTTTTTTTTAATTTAAGTAATTCTCTCCGTGAAAATGTGACCACATTTCTGTATGGAACCTCAAAAAAGGATCACGTCAACTACAATATGCTGTCCTCCATTGAGCAGGTCGGAAACCGCATCAACAGTGAATCTATCAGTGACTTTAATCACCTTTCCTTGGAACAAAGAAGAGTAGTACTGCCCAGCTTCACAGTTATGATGTCGCATGTCCACGATATGGCTAACAAGCGATTAAAAAAGAGCAACACCTGCGTGACGGTGGGCCGCACCAAGCTACCCTACAGCTTGGAGGTGTACGAGGAGCTCCTTGACTACCTGCGTCTGTGCTTGTGGTACTCGGCTGGAGTTGTATCTGCTCCCGGGGACGAGAAGTACACCCAAGACCTTCGCAACTACATTAAGTTGCATTATGATGAGGAGGAAGGAAACGCCTTGCACCAGTACGTGCAGTTTGTCCAACGCGGAGTGGAGGCCAAGAGAAGTAAGTATAACAATGCGCCTCAATGAAGCTGTACTAAAATGTTGTTCTTTCAGGCGAATCCAATCTTATTTGCTTGTATGATCTGCTGAATGCCGCTCCGGAACTGTTTGCTGCCAAGCAGCTGCATCTCCTAGAGCCCCTCGGAAACTCCTTAAAGGATGTGTCCGAGACCATGCGCGTTCACGTTGCTCAGGTGTATGGCATTCTGTGGGCCTTCGGACTGCCGGACGATAAGTTTGATGAGGAGCTCGCCGAGTGCTTAAATAATCTTTCGCAAAAGACATTGGAGCACAAGCATGGCTGGCTCCTGGTGGTGGGACACACCTTCAACCGGAAGATAGCAATGCTCAAGCAGTCGCAACAGGCCAAGGACTATGGTACATGGGCGCAGTTTGTAAATGCTGTTAAGATTATCTGTGAGTTCTTATGAATTTCCCAAAACATTTCGTTTAATTAATTTCGTCTGTATTTTAGCAAAAACACTGTGCGAATCCCAATGGCTGCTTGTTTCGGCAGCAGTTAAATGCATTTCCATGATCGGCAAGACTGTGGAGATTCCAAATGTAAAGGTGGAGATTCAAGTGCCAAGCAACGACGCGGATGACGACGAGGAAATGACCGAGTACAAAAGCATTGACACGTCGACCAAGCTGCTCATCTTTGGCGTAGTATTTCAACTTCTGCGGAGCTCGTCAGCGCGCCAAAAAATCCGCGAGGAGGCGGCCAGATGTCTGGGTTATTTGGCCATAGGTGATGGGGAGCACTTCACGAAGCGCAATCTGGAGAAGTTCCTCACGTTGGCAAAGGAGCAAAAAGACGCCGCCCTGAACATAGCCATCTCGGAGGCCATTGTTAATACTCTTTGTGGCTACGATGTGAACAAAGGAAAGCCCGATGAGAAATTCGTAAACGTCCACTTCAACGATGCAGATTTCGAGGAGTTCCTTATCTCGCTGATCCGAAAAGTTACCGAGCCCAATATTCACTCTCGCCAGGCTATATCGGTCTGGCTTCTGGCTGTGGTCAAGCACTGTAGCCAACGCCCGGCTGTCCTGGCTAAAAAGGAGCTGCTGCAGTTCGCCTTTACGGAGCTTTTATCAGATGATAGCGGTGAGTTTTTCCATTCATGAATGTACATATTCTTTTCTTACTGATCGATCTGCTTTGTGCTGCCCAGAATTTGTGCAGGATGTGGCCTCACGTGGCCTGGGATTGGTCTATACCCTTTCCGACTCCACCAGCCAGGGTGATCTCGCCAACTCCCTGCTGGACCAACTTATTGGAGGCAAACGGAAAGTCAACCAGGTCTCTGCTGACACCGAACTCTTTGCTGAGGGCATGCTAGGCAAAACGCCAACCGGAGGCAACATCACAACATACAAGGAATTGTGTTCTTTGGCATCAGATCTCAACCAGCCGGACATGATCTATCAGTTCATGCAGTTGGCCAACCATAATGCCACCTGGACTAGTAAGCTTGGTGCAGCGTTTGGTTTAAAGACTCTTTCCGCTGAGTCCCGGCAGAAGATGCAGCCCTATCTGGGTAAAATAATTCCTCGCCTCTACCGCTACAAGTATGATCCAACCCCCAAAATCCAGAACTCCATGATCTCCATTTGGGATACCATAGTAAGCGACTCCAAGGAGGTCACCGAGCGCTACTACTGGGAGATCCTGCGTGAACTTCTCGACAATCTCACCTCCAAAGAATGGCGAGTGCGCATCGCCTGCTGTTTGGCCGTGAGGGATCTACTGAAGCGTCCCAACGGCCTGAAGTTGCGCTCGGAGGAGTTGGTGCGTGGGGTGAAAAGTTCCGATGCAATGGAGGTGGATGAAGTGCCCGAGCCAGAGCTGAAGGAACTGTGGTTCCAACTGTTCCGTGTGATGGACGACATCCATGAGGGAACAAGAGTGGCGGCTCACGGCACTGCCTCTTTTCTAGGCAAGCTGTGTGTCATCGCTGCTTCTGCGGATCATGGAAAATCCGGCACAGCGGTAGCTGCCTCCATACTTCCGTATCTTTTGGATACTGGAGTTGGTCACAAGGTGGCTGAAATTCGCAAAGTAAGCATCAAAACTATTTCCGATATGATCGATTCATCGGGCTCCCTGATTGCCCCACATCTGGCCACCTTGATTCCCTGCCTACTGCGCGCCACCGGTGAGCTAGAGAACTCCAAGCTCTCCTATGTGTCCACTCGTTTGGGTGCTGATAACGAGGCTCAGGAAGCAGTTGACACTCTGAGAGCTGAGGCCGCCAAGTCGCACCATACCATGGAAGCCATTGGTAAGTGCGTTCGCTACATCGACTATCCGGCGCTAGAGAAGATGACACCCGAAGTTCTGGAACTGATGAAGAACAGCGTCAACCTGGGCACAAAGATTGGCTGTGCCCACTTTGTATGTCTGGTAAGAGATTTAAATTTTAAAAATATTTTGAAAAGATATTTTATTTTAATGACTCCTTCAGATCAGCATTCGATTGGGCAATGAGATGACCCCGGTGGTCTCAAAGTATTTAAGAGCATGCTTAGTGGGCATCAAGGACCGCAATGCCACTGTCCGCAAGTACAACGCCAGCGCCATTGGCCACATCTTGGGCTTGGCCAAGGAGCAGTCCATAAAAAGTTTCTTTACCAAGTTGGACGAGATGTATGCGGATCAGCCGAGCAACCGCTCCATCGCCCTGACTATCCAGTCAATTAACAAACGCCATCATGAGCTGCTCAAGGACTATATGGACAGTATGCTCCCCTTAATCTTCTTCGCAATGCACGAGGAATCCAACGACGAATCAAAGGCCAACGTGGAACTGTGGAAGGATTTGTGGACTGACGTAAGCCCGGGGGATGCTGGCATCCGTCTCAATCTGCATGTGATCATTCCGAAACTGGAGGCTTCGCTCACGGATGCAAGTTGGTCGCGTAAGGCTCAGGCAGCGAATGCCATCCAAACAATAGCAACTCGACTCAGCAGTTCCTTGGAGGAATCCGACCGAGTGCGACTAATCAAGCTGCTGCTAAGTGGGCTCCAGGGTCGAACCTTTGAGGGAAAGGAGCGCTTGTTGCAGGCTTTGGCCGGACTCACCAAGGGACTGAACCGCACCCACGCAATCGGGCCAAGTATTATCGATGCGGCAATGCGAGAGGCCAGGAAGCGGGAACCGATCTACCGCACAAAGGCCCTAGCATCTTTGGGCGACATCCTGGATCAGCTTGAGGCGGATCGCTTCGAGGAGGTTTATAACATGACCTGGAACCTGCTCGAAAAGAAGGAGCTGAGCAAGGATTCGGACGACGACGACGAACCCAGTACTAGTCAGAGTCTGACGGCCGATGAGCGCAACAAGCGGGCGCAAACGCTCAACCGACTTAAGGAAGTGGTATGGGAAACATTGGGTAAATCTTGGCCACGCCACTCCATCGAAACCCAGCACCGCTACGAGCTCTTTTTGGCCGAGAACTGCACGAGTATTTTGGCAGAGAGTACACGTCCTGTGCAGGTTAGCCTACTGGCAGCCATAACCAAATATATTGAGAGACTCCACGTCTTCGATGAGTCTGCTCAGGTGCCCGATCTCAGCCAGATCAATCAGGAGAAAAAGATTAAGACGGATGTGCCACTGCCCCAGACTCGTGAGGCCATTGTCGAGAAGATCTGCACTGATGTCCTTGCGGCGGTGACCCTTGCTGCCGGAGTCCCCCATACAGGGCTCAAGAAGGAGGCCCTCAACATCGTTCTAATGCTGATTAAGCGGCTGAGCGGCCCCAAAAACGAATCGTCTTTAGTGTTGGTCCAGAAAAGCTTTGAATCGAATCTGGAAAAGTTTCAGCGGGACTCTGCACCCGAGATTCGCTGTCGTATCAAGGACATCGAAGATAAGCTGGGTAAAATGCAGACCGGAAACTAAGACGGAGGGGAGCGGCCAAACCCCCAGCTGGGTCTAGAATAGAAGTCTGGATATAAAGCATCTAAAATTGGCTGAAAATAACTTATATTTAAAAAATGGTTTACGATAATGTAAGATGGGACTCAAAGACACCATTTGTAATTATAATATATTAACTACGAACTATAAAGGATTTGATTTAAAAGAATACTATGTTTTTGATGAGATCTAATTAGGAACATTATGTTACGAGACCAACCAATTAGCCAAACTACAAATAGCCATCATATGTTGTATGGTTAGTACCCTAATCCCTGCAGAACCTGAGGAATATTTCATCGCGTGACTCCAGCATAAAGGTTTTGGGATTAAATCGGATTTCATTCACTGTCCGGTGACACATCTCCACCCTGTACAGTCTTAATATGTGGGCGATTCCCAGTTTCAGCTGCAGAAGGCCCAAGCGACTGCCAATGCAGCCATGTGGCCCAGCTCCAAAGGGAATATAGGTCATGGGTATTATTTCCTTTGCTCTTTCAGGAGAAAATCGTTCAGGGTTAAACCGACAGGGATCAGGCCAGAACTAAGGAAATAAGATAGTAAGATAACAAGAAGTTTTTAAGATGATAGAAACCCACCTGTTCGTCTCGATGTAATCCTAGGATAGAGATGTACGCAGGCATTCCTGGTGGCAATATAGCATCTACATGCGGGCGCAGGGAGAAGCCACCTGCATCCGGACTTGTGCACTCCCTGTTGATAAATGCAGCCGCTGGATACAGACGCAGTGCCTCTAGACAAACCATTTTAAGGTAGGGAAGTGTCGCCAGGGTCTCGTAGTTGAGGTGGGAAGTGGAGCTGGTCAAAAAAGCTTCGCTTAGTTCGCTTCTCAGCCGCTCCTGGAGATCCGGAGCCTTGGCTAGTTCATAAAGAGTAAAGCCCATCAGCGCTGAGGATGTTTCGAATCCAGCCAAGAGGATAATCCCTGCCTGAGAGGCTATGAAATCTGGATGCTGAGAATAGTGGTCGGAAGATCGCGACAGCTGGAAGTGTTGCAGCTGGTTGATCAGATCTCCCATCCTCGTTTCCCGGTGTTCATCCACCAGCTTTCTCATGAACTGGGCATAATCCTCGCTGAAGACCTTGGCTCCCAGAAGATTGGCCCACTTTGGTAGGAAGAAAATGGTCATAAAGTCCAATACCTTTCGCAGGTTAGGATTAAATAACTCCTTGGTCTTTTTGAGAAGGGGGGATCGGCCCTGACGTAGTCCACCCACATCCTGGCTGTAGAAGAGATTGCCTGTGACATCCGTGGTATAAAGCTGGCACATCTTGCCGAGCGAAAGAACTCTCTCTGAACGAGCTCCCATTTTGCGATCCAGATAGTGCTCCAGGTCATCAGCCACTCGGAGCATCAGGGGGTACATCACCTCCCTCAGGCGACCACTTGTAAAGAGCTGCGACATGCACTGCCGGCTTTCCTTCCAGTTGTGATATTTGGCCAGAGGCAGAGTCAACGCTCCCATCAAGTCTCCAGCATCCGCCGCCTCGTAACGATTCAAGAAGCTATTGAAGTGCTTTATCAGCACCATACGAATCAGCTCCGGATCCCGGATCATCAGCGCCGGGGTCTGGAACAAAAAGAAGCCAACTACTTTGGCTTTTTCGCATCGTGGGTCCGCGTAGATTTGCTGAAAGAGATCCCCGAAGGAAATGCGCAGGAAAAGTAGCTGTCCGAGGTGACCCAGTGGTGACCAACCGGAAATGGGTAGATGGGGAATCCCATGCCTTCTAAAGTAGTCGTACTTTTGTCTTAGCCAAAGATGTAAGGCCAAAGTTGTGAATACCATCAGCCAGAGGAACATCATTGTAACTGTGGAGTAATATACATTATTGTTAGTTTTTTATTTTTATTTATAAAAGTCTGGAAAAATCTAAATAACCTTGTTCATGAATTCCCCAGAGAACACATTTCCATAAAAGAAGAATATATCCAAGCCCATTTAGCATTACAATGATAATACTCCCCATTCACGTTTGAGATTCAAAGTCAAAACTGGTGGCTATCTATGTAGATGAACCCAATCGCTCAATCGGTTTCCTGTAGCTTTTTAACCCTTCGATGCTGGCTGGGATCGAACAGTTCTCGAAAAGATTCCAAAGCGTCGACATGGCACTGGGACTGCTGGTCCTGGTGGTCACACTTTTAAGCACCGCCTGTTGGCTCCTGCAGCAGCACTACTCCTACTGGAGGCGAAGAGGAGTTCCTGAGATCAAGCCTAAGTGGATAGTAGGCAATCTGATGGGACTCCTGAATATGCGAACTAGTCCGGCGGAGTTTATAGCCCAGCTGTACAACCATCCTGAAGCGGAAAACGAACCGGTTGTGGGCATACATCTATTCCATAAGCCGGGGTTGCTCCTAAGGGATCCTGGCTTGGTCAGAAAGATTATGGTCAAGGATTTCGCCAAGTTCAGCAATCGGTACTCAAACTCTGACCACAAAGGCGACCCACTGGGTTCCCAGAACATATTCTTTTTGAAAAACCCTGCTTGGAAGGAGGTGCGACTGAAGCTATCTCCTTTCTTCACCAGCAACCGTCTGAAGCACATGTTCCCGCTGATCGAGGAGGTGGGTGCCAGCCTGGATGCTCATCTGCGCCAGAAGCCACTGCACAATGAACGGCTCCGCTGCTTCGACATGGAGGCCAAGGAGCTATGCGCCCTCTTCACCACCGATGTGATTTCCACAGTGGCCTTTGGAGTTCGGGCCAATAGTTTCACGGATCCGAATGGCGAATTCCGACGACATGGAAGATCGGTCTTTGAATTCACTTTCTTAAGGGCAGCGGAATTCACATTAGTGTTCTTCCTGCCCCATTGGGTTCCGTTTTTCGGGTTCAAGGTAGTTCCCGACGAGTCGACTCGCTTCCTGCGCAAAACCATCAATTATGTCCTGGACGAACGTGAAAGATCGGGACAAGCACGTAACGATCTCATCGACATCCTCATCGAGTTTCGACGGAATACCCAGCAGGCCAAGGCCAAGGGCGTCAAGGATCAGTTCGTCTTCGAGGGCGATATCCTGGTGGCTCAAGCAGTGCTCTTTTTTACTGCCGGCTTTGAATCCTCGTCCTCGACAATGGCCTTTGCCATGTATGAGCTGGCCAAGGATGCCGATGTCCAGCGAAGATTGAGGGAGGAGATCAAGGAGGCTCTGGTTGCGAGCGGCGGTCAGGTGACCATGAAGATGATCGAGTCCTTGGAGTACATGCAGATGATTTTAATGGAGATCCTGCGCATGTACCCACCTCTGCCTTTCCTAGATCGCGAGTGCACTGCCGATGAACTCTACTCCCTGGAACCATTTCATAACTTTCAAGTGCCCAACGGAATGCCTGTCTATATACCTTGTTACGCCCTCCACATGGATCCCCAGGTAGGAATTATAGCTTCTTTAACTGTAATGATTATAGTCCTAATCCTCACTTGTGACTAGCACTTTCCGCAGCCCCGGAAGTTTCAGCCGGAACGATTTTCCGCCGCTAATAGAAAACTACATACACCCTATACCTACATGCCCTTCGGACTGGGGCCCCATGGATGCATCGGAGAGCGCTTTGGGTTCCTTCAGGCTAAGGTGGGGCTCGTAAGCCTCTTAAGGAATCATCTTATCACCACTTCGGAAAGGACTCCACGCCGCATGCAGCTGGATCCCAAGGCTATTATAACCCAGGCCAAAGGGGGCATTCACCTGAGGCTTGTGCGCGATCCTCTAGGAGTCTAACTCACCTGTGGCTAGGAAGTTTAGTGGAAAGTTTCTGAGTTTTCGCGAGAAAAGTATCCAACCAAACCTGAACGAGAACTAAGCCGGAGAAGTTGCGTGTTTCGTCATTTAAAAATTCAACTGGTGTCGCATCTTGGGGTAATTTTATTGACATGTTGCGTGTTTATCCATCGGAGCGGAGGAGATGCCTCATTTCTGACATAGGTGATCAATCTCCCATATAAAAATATATAAACCCATGCAAATTAAGAGTCATTTATAAATTTATTCCATAATCTTAGGCAGCTCTACTTTGTTTGTTACGCTTCCAATTCCAAGCGTTTAAAAACAGATTTGCGAATATGTAATAAAAGATTATATTTATGTATATTTATTGGTGGCGCAATTTTCCAGATTTTCGAGCTTAAAGATTAAATGCGATTTGATAACCACTCCGATTTTGATTCCCTAGACGAAGCGCCGCGTTTGACACGGATTATTTTAAAATAGAAAAACATAAACATCCATAAGCCTGTTGTCCGAGGGCTATTACCCTGTCAGCTAATCACCGGCCCTATCTCCAGGTACTATAGCATGTACTAGAAGTTCACACTGATTGGTTCAGCTCGCGCGCACTGACGTCATAGAGGCCGTCGTTCACGATCTCCAGGTGGATGCCTCCATCGGCTTGGAGCACGAACCCCTTGGGGTCGAACTTCATTTGATTCATGGTGTCGGCGCAGTTCCTGACCGCGTGATTCTTGAGCAAGTGGACCAGGCCTAGCTTGCTCTGGAGCAGGCCGATCCGGCTGCCGATGCAGTTGTGGGGTCCAGCGCCAAAAGGCAGATAGGCCATAGCCTGTATGTTCTTACGGTTCTCGGGGGAGAAGCGCTCCGGATCGAACTGGTTGGGATTGGGCCAAAACTGCAAATCAAATTTAAGTATTTTAGGTAAATTTATTTATTAAAAAGATTTTGAAAAGTAAAGTATAAAGTATAAGTATTACCTTTGGATTGCGTTGCAATGCAAAAATTGGTATAAACACTGGAGTTCCATTCTCGTAAGAAAAGTCGTAAAAGGGCTTCAACGAGAGGTCTGGCTCACCCTGGATACTTTCATACTCTCGATCCAAGAACGGCAGCACCGGGTACAAGCGCAGAACCTCATCCACAACCATGGACAGGTACTCCAGGCCCTGGATCTTTTCATAGGTTAAGCTGCCACCACCTTCCAGCAGGGCCTCGTTGATCTCCTCGCGCAAGCGCTGTTGCATCTCCGGGTGCTGGGCCAACTCGTAGAGGGCGAAGGACATGGTCGAAGAGGAAGTCTCGAAGCCAGCAGTGAAGAACACACCCGCTTGGGCCACCAGAAAGTCCTGGTTACGAGCATAATGTGGTTTTGACGGTTCCGCAGCCGCCTCCTTCCGTAAAGCCACCAGAATATCAATGAGGTCGTTACGAACGTGACCCGTTCGCTCCCGATCCTCCATCACATGACCAATGGTTTTCCTCATAAAGGATGAGAACTCTGGCGTGAAGAACTGGATTCGGAATAGGGATACCAGTTTAGGAAGAAAGAAGGCAACGAAGAAGTCCTTGGCACGCGAGACATTAAAAGTGAACATCTGGCGACCATAATTACGGAACTCGCCATTGGCGTTTTCCAAACTGTTGGCCCGGATGCCATATGCGATGGTGGCAATGCTGTCGGTGGAAAACTGGGCACAGATCTCCTTGATCTCGGTGATATACTTTCCAGAGCTCTCCTCGCCGTGTCTTTTTAAAGCTGCCTCCAGGTCTCTGCCAATCTTGGAAGAGTAAAGAAAGAATTAATCAAAGAAACGCCCAGAAGGAAAGAAAGACTAATTAATGTACCTCTTGCATCAGTGGGTACATCTGCTTAACCTTTCCGCTCGTAAAAACAGGAGTCAGCTTGGTGCGAATGTCCTTCCAGTGGTTGTTTCTCACAAAGAAAAGATTATTGTAGCCCAAGGGATCCCTATGTGGGTCGCATTGGGCGTAGCGATTGTGGAACCGATTAAAGTCCTTGATCAGCACGGACTTAACCAAATCCACATCGCGAATAACTAGTCCGGGCTTGTTTAGGGCATAGATGCCTATGACAGCTTCGTCCTGAGCCCGAGGATCATTGTAGATTTCGGAGAGGTAGAGTCCAAATGAGGTTTCCATTTTAAAGGCCGGCTTTGTGTTTCCGATGATTGGCGTAGGTGGAATGTAGGGTATCCCTTTTCGCTGCCAGTAGGTGTGATTACGTTGGAACCACAGGTAGACTGCCACCAGGGCAGCCACCACAAGGAAGAGGGCCTCAGTTATGGCCATCGCAGTTTTTGACTATTCTTAAAAGGGGTCGGGACCACTGTAATAAAGTTATTACTTTGATAAGTTAAGGCGCTAAGGATGGCGATAAGGATGATATTTTCCGTCACAAGTGCTTTTTTATCATTGTTTATTATAAATACTACCTTTCTGGTAATGTGTTGATATCTTATCATATAGTTATTTAAATGTTATTATAAAACCTTGTAATTATAAAAGTTGGACATGTTCCAAAACAATACTTGAAAGACACTTGGATAGTTAATAGATTAGTGTAATACATTAAAAAACACTGGAAAACTTGAAAGAATTTTAATAATGTTCTGAAAAGGATCGATCGGCACTTCGATTCCTTCATCTCCTTTAGAACATGGTTGGTTTGAATATGTTTCTTTTAATCCTACAGCTCTCTTCGTTTTTCGTTATATTTCTATCAATTCACTTGCTTCTGACCTTAATTGAAACTTGTTTTTCCAAGTTCAAGGAAACGATTTTTTATTTTAATAATGAAATCCGGAGCTATCTGGCACCCAACCGACAATTAAAGCTTTTAATAACTAAATATATTTAAACTGTGCTCGGCATTTTATACCCGACGGTTCCGAGAGATAGCGTTTTCAAGTTATATTACATATTACAGGTGTGGTGAATATACGGATCAAAGATGTAGAACGAAGATGTGCAATTACTGCGATTAATTTAATGTCAAAAATGTTTATTTTATTATAAACTCTCGTAAGTTAATTTAGAAAAAAATATAACATTGTATGCTTAGAGAAACTCAAGATTTTTTCTGAAGTCTTTTATTAAAATAATAAACGTCAAGTTGCTTACATCGAAGGCTTAAGAGCAACGATTGCAAAATGTCTGGGCGATATTACAGGATTAAATAAGTCAATCAGATAGCTACGTTGATATCCCAATTCCTTCAGGTACAACAGGCGGTCCAAAAGTATCAAACTCTCTAGAACCGGAGCAAACGACATGCGTACGAGGTAGAAAAGGTCCAAATAATGCTTTTCCATTGCGTATTCTTGCAATATCAATTCTAACTCGGTATCCCCGATGGCGGCTAACCAAGGCGCGTCTAATTTTGAGGCACATTTTTCAACATATTCCTTAAAATCCTCAAATTTTCGCACTTTACCCACCTGAAGTTCGTTTTTCAGGTGCGGAGCATGCCGGCAAACTAAAATCTCTAGCAGGGAACGATAATATAGCGTCATATTCGGCAACTCCTTGGCATCCAAGGTTCTTTCTATAGACTGAGCGGCCAGCATCCTGGCATTTCGTCCAAGGCGAACCTTTTTCTGCTGCAGATACTGACTCAGTGGAAAACCGAAATCAGTTTGCATGTCCATTAAAGCCTTATTTCCAAAAAATTCATTCGTTGAATAGCGCTCCCGTAGCAAATGATAGCAACAACCTATGTTGCATAGGATCCGGCAATCCGATTGGGCGTGGAAAACTTGCAGGCAAGTGGAAGCCAGATTTCCACAGGTATGAAGACCAGTTAGACAAATTTCACTAGTTCCTTTCTTTGAAAAGTGTTGCTCCAACAAATCCCCAAAATTGATTTCGGTGGTTATAAATCTAGCCGTGGTTTTGTAGTTTTCCAAAGCTGGTACAGGTTTAGAAGAATCTCTGATAGGTGATTTCTTACCACGCCTCTTCGGCGTGATGCCCTGACTTTGGAGCTCGGCGCGTTCAGTCAAGCCATTCCAAGCGCGCTAAAATAAAAAACGAATTAGATTAAAATATAAATTCAAAATTTAGTTTAGCGGCGATAACATTTTACTACAACGTTTTCCAACACTGAAATATATCAAATATCTTCCATCTCCACGCATCTCTTCTTCTTTCCCACAACGCCGGCGCTATTTTCACGCATTTTCTTGTTTTTCTTAAATAAAGTAGCAAAAATCAAATAAACACCATGTCGGCTGGTATGCCCATCAACCCCAAGCCATTCTTGAATGGCCTCACAGGAAAACCGGTGCTCGTGAAGCTGAAGTGGGGACAGGAGTACAAGGGCTTCCTGGTTTCCGTGGATGGATACATGAACATGCAGCTGGCTAACACCGAGGAAGTTATTGAGGGCTCCGTCACCGGCAACCTCGGCGAAGTGCTCATCCGCTGCAATAATGTGCTGTACATCAAGGGCATGGAAGACGATGACGAGGAGGGCGAGATGCGCGATTAGATTGAATGGAGGAGCACCCACAACTTAGCTTAAGTCTTATGAAATAAAGCTATATTTATTTTGTAGTAAAAAAAATACCTGTAATTTACGATTTCGGCTTAGAGCGTTCTCCGTGTTTGCAGCATTGGCATCGATGCCGAGGACGTGGTGACCGTACTGGAGCGCCAAGCGGGATGACAAGTAGCCCTTACCGTCGCCCGCATCAACAATGTAACATCCCTGATTGCAATTTTTAACAAGATGATCTATTAGAGCCGCCGTAAGCTCAACCTGGAATAATCTGATTTATGTCTCGAAGGATAATGGCTTCTCCAACTCACCTCATGACATTTTTTGGCACTCATGAACTCACGAATACTTAGTTGAGTGTGATTTTCATCTCCATCTATAAGTTGGTCCACCGTGGTCAGCAATTCCAAATGATTGGACAAGCGCTCCTGTTCTCCTTGGGCAAGAAAACTTTCCCAATTCGGAAACTTGCTTTTACTACGACAAGATTGCCAAAACAACTCTTCTATGGCCAGCTCAACGTCTTCCCTGCACCCAATTTCCTTCCTCAAGGCATCGGGAATAAAAGTACTCCAATGAAAATCCGTCAGGAAGTTCACCATATGGCAGTTGACAAAATCCCAGTGAGGGTTTAGGAAATCGATGAGACCATCAAGGCGTTTCTGCAATTGTGTTACTCCCACCCTGGACATGGTGCTAGAAGCTGTAATCCTTACGTTCGGAGCTAGGTTGGCTTGGAGATGATGCTTCAGCACTTTTCTTAGTTCCCAAGAGGGCACGGAGACGTCGATGGGTGTTTCTGATAGTTTCTACGGCTCCGATAATGTCTGCTTCCGGGTCGTTGGTACGAGGGAACTGCTCTATAAGTTCACGAAGCTGTTCCAGACTGCGCTTCACTTTCTCCGTATGATTTAGTTGCTGCTGGGCCACCACTTGACCTAGAATCCTTCCCAGCTCCTCACCTAGTTGTATGCCTTGGGCGTAGCCGAGCCGGTAGCCCTCCTCGTTGCCCTGCTCCTGTCCGTCGGCTAATCCCTCGTCGTAACCCTGGCGAGCGTGCTTCTCCTCCGTCAAAACAATGTCGTCAAACAAATCGTTTATATCCCGCGGCGGAGTGGACATTATTTGAATCTCTCCGTTTACCACCCTGTTCCAGAGCCTTCAGACTCCTGTAGAGCTTTTACGTTGTGTCTTTAAAAATATTCAAGTCTATTCTAGACCTTTTATTAAGTTTTTTATTTAAATGTCGTTCAATGTGTTTAAAATCCTCAATGTGGAATAACTTAAATAGTTTTACAACACTGTAGATATGTAGCTAAACAGAACCTTATCAGGGCTGTAGATATAAGGGGGTTACACCAAGTCACGACTTTTTAAAAAAACCCTTCTTTAAGTTTTGGAATCAATGTTATAATACTAAGATAATAATATTTGTTAGTGATACATATTTACATACATAGATTGATAATATTTGTAGTGATACAGGCATAATTAAGTTCATTTCAAGATTTAGAACAAGTAAATTATAATTTTTTGTTTAAGCTTTTTGTTACACCAAAAAACCAAACTTTGAATTAAAATCAAAAAATTGTAAATTTATGAACAAAAAAAAACGTTTTTTAATAATTTTAATGTCATTGTTTTGCACCTGATAACAAAAAATTAAACTTGTAATCATGACATGACACTTTTTTATGCTTTTGCTTTATTTTTTTATGGTTCTTTTAAATTTTAGTATGTTTTTAAGCCGGCTAATCCACAGGCGGTCCATATCAACGAAAAATACGCTATCTCCGGATTGTTGGAGGTATAAAATCACAAGCGAAATGTTAAAAAGCCTTAGTTGCTCGCGAAGTTTTGATCCCGGTTGTGTGTCCGGCTTTGGGGTTGTGCGTAAAAGTAAAAAACCAAAAAGCATCCCATTCCAACTTAGAAATTTGTGTTTAAAAACTATTTTTTTGGTGACCTACTAGTTTTTCTTATCTAAGCAATAATAAATAAAGATAACCAAGTGAAAACTACTAAAAGTTTCAGCTAAAAACTTAATTACAGAAGGGATTAAATCGAATCTGTTTAGCTACCGCCTTGCTAGAACTATTCACCTCCGATGGCTTTAACTGAAGTCCTCTTCCTTGTGGTGGCTGCCCTGGTGGCAGTCTACTTGTGGTTCCAGCGTAATCACACCTACTGGCAGCGAAAGGGAATACCCTACATTCCACCTACGCCAATTATCGGCAACACAAAGCCGGCTTTTACATTGGAGACTTCATTTGGACTCCACCTTTCCGATATCTACAATGATCCTCGGGCGCAGAACGAAGCTGTCGTGGGCATCTATGCCCTAAACAAGCCCGGACTAGTTATTCGTGATGTGGATTTGATCAAGTCCGTGCTGATCAAGGACTTCAATAGGTTCCACAATCGCTATGCCCAATGCGACCCACATAGAGATCCCTTGGGCTACAACAATCTTTTCTTTGTGAGAAACAACCACTGGAAGGACATCCGGACTAAGCTGACTCCTGTTTTTACGAGTGGAAAGATAAAGCAGATGTACCCACTAATTCAAGAGGTACTGTTTGTGGCAACTAGTTCTTTATAATATGATTTAATCTCTTATTTTTTAAGATTGGCAAGGATCTTGAAGCTGCCCTAAAAATACGCGACGAGAAAAGCTCTGGCAAGTACATCACCGAGATTAAGGATATCTGTGCCTTGTTTACCACTGACAGCATTGCCTCCATCGCATATGGTATTCGGGTAAACAGTCTGGAAAATCCCAATGCAGAGTTCCGCAAGTATGGACGCAAAGTATTCAACTTTACAATATTCCGAGCCAAGGACTTTTTTGTATCCTTTTTCTTGCCTAAACTGGTCTCCTTATTGCGAATCCAATTCTTTCCACCGGAGCTCGCCTCTTTTATGAGGAAAACAATTAGACATGTGATGGAGGAGCGGGAGCGTACGGGTCACGTTCGTAACGACCTCATTGATATTCTGGTGGCTTTACGGAAGGAGGCGGCTGCGGAACCGTCAAAACCACATTATGCTCGTAACCAGGACTTTCTGGTGGCCCAAGCGGGTGTGTTCTTCACTGCTGGCTTCGAGACTTCCTCTTCGACCATGTCCTTCGCCCTCTACGAGTTGGCCCAGCACCCGGAGATGCAACAGCGCTTGCGCGAGGAGATCAACGAGGCCCTGCTGGAAGGTGGTGGCAGTTTAACCTATGAAAAGATCCAAGGCTTGGAGTACCTGTCCATGGTTGTGGATGAGGTTCTGCGTTTGTACCCGGTGCTACCGTTCTTGGACCGAGAGTATGAAAGTATCCAGGGTGAGCCAGATCTCTCGTTGAAGCCCTTTTACGACTTTTCTTACGAGAATGGAACTCCAGTGTTTATTCCAGTATTCGCATTGCATCGCGATCCAAAGGTAATATAGTTACTTCCCAAAATGTTTCTACAGAATATTAAATTGATTCAAATATGATAATATATAAGTATTTAATATATATGTAATTGATATTTTCAGTATTGGAAAAATCCCAACCAATTTGATCCGGAACGCTTTTCCCCCGAGAACCGTAAGAACATACAGGCTATGGCTTATCTGCCCTTTGGTACCGGACCACACAACTGCATCGGCAGCCGGATTGGCCTGCTCCAGAGCAAAATGGGGCTGGTGCACTTGCTCAAGAATCACACTGTTAGGACGTGTGCTGAAACAATTAAGGAAATGAAGTTCGATCCCAAAGCTCTCTTGCTCCAGGCTGACGGGGGTATTCATCTGGAGCTTATCAACGATCGTCTCTATGACCTCAGTACTGCTTAACTCCGATAAATCAATCAATAAATCATACTAAGAATAAATAACTTCTTTAAAAAATTGCAAATTGCACCTGTCGAGGTACTTTTAGTCATAAAAAATATAAAAGCATCTTTTGGTTGATTAATTTATTCAACTGATTATAAGACTTTGCTAATTTGGCATGCGCTTGAGCACAGAATTTAGAATTCTATCTAGAGATTGTTATTGCATCTAGTGCTTAAAGCCACCAAAGGCACTTAACTGGTGATAAAGCTAGATAGTAATAGTGTAAGAGTTAAAAGACGATTTTCCCAGTTTGTCCATTAGTTCCACACGTCGTCGTCGTCAGAGCGCTGCTCTTCGCTTGATTGAGATCCCTTGCGTGGCTGCACCGGAGGGGGTATAACCCGCGAGAGCTGTTGCAACAGCGGATTTCCAGACGTGGACTCCCCAGGATTTTGGCTCCCAGAAATTCCCTTTCGTCGCAGCATGAGTTTATTGTGCAAATCGGCCATAAGATCTCCCGAGGCAGTTTCTCCTGCTTTGGATCGCTTCGAGTCAACTGCATCAAGTGGAGCTGCTGCTGGTGACCGAAGACGTCCACCACCTACTCCTCCTGCATTTCGGATGGCAGCCATAAGCTCCGAGCGCGGATCTACTGTAGTGGGAGGGGGTGCTGGCATCCTTAGTGGCGTCATGGGAGATGGGGAAAGCGGTTTGACGGCTCCCTTGGTTGGAAAAGGTGGGGGTGACGGTGGTTTTTTGGTCTGTAGTGGAGGCGGTGGTGGTGGCGGTGGTGGAGGAGGAGGTGGCGGTAGTGCTGAAGGGGGTGTGACTCCAACACTATTCTTTCTTGTCGGCCCCGGAATGTGAGTTTGGGCTGCGATGGCCTGCACCGTGATCTCCTGCTCTTCCACCTCCAGCCTAGACAAGTCAGGCAGATCCCCGTATTGATAGGACGGTGCAATGCGAATTTTCTCCTCTACCGGCTGATAATGCAAATCATTGGCGATGCCGGGAAGATCAGGTAGGTCCAGCGGCACTTCGATGGCGGGCGCAGCTTCAGCAGCGGGGTTGTAGCGTAAGTCCCCGGCAGGGGTGGCTAACTTGGTGGCGCCATGGGCCAGGGAGTGGGGGGCTGGAGCCAGGAGATTTTCATCCGAGGTTCTCGCCAGGTTGTTGGCTGCCCGTTTAGCACTCTGCGGAGGCACTGATCGTTTCCAGTCATTCAGATCTTCTCCAAACGCAAACTCGTCGGTGTTAAAACGCATCAGAGATGTTACTGATCGTACTCCGTCTTTTGGCAGGGCTCCCAGTCCGGAAGTACGATTGGTCAGCTTCCGCTCAGCGACCAGCGGCGCCTCGTGCTCCTGCTCGGCCCGCACATGAAAGAAGACGGGTTCCTCATCGGGCTTCTGCTCTTCGGAGGCACCAGCACCGCTGTTGAAGCGCCGGCTGTACTCCGGCTGCTGCTGCTGGCGGGGCTCCTCCGTCTCCATCAGCGATCTGGCCACCTGCGTGAAGGTGGCGGGCAATGGAGTCAGGACGTCGCTGGCCGGGAAGCGGGCGGGTGCGAAGATCTGAATGGCCCGTTTCGAGCCGACGAGAGCATCGATTTTCGCCTGGGCGCGCTTCACACGACTGTTTATGTCCTCAACCTTTGCACCATTCCTGGCCAAGCGGGCATCGATCCGCTCGAAAATCGAATTTATCGTTTTGTGTAGACAGTCCAGGGACTGGGCTGCTCTGATTATTGTCTCCTCATGGTGCAGGTCGGAAGGGATCATCGACACCTGGAAGGCGTTGCGCAGGAATGGGCGGGAGTCGTCCATTATATTTGCTAATTTTCGAATCGTTCACATATTGCACAGTGACCAATGCATTAAACAGTGTTGCCAGGGTGCCAAAGGTTACATTGAGATGGGACCGTATTCGGATCCAGATCCGAAAACCACCCTCCAAATAGTTTGAACGGTAGTGTTGGTGCAGGTGCGAGGTTTAATTATCATCAATGAACGGTCACACCCAGATACACATTCATGAAAAATACATCGCAGTTGTTACGTGAAAGTTTTCAAACGCTAATTTTTATTGTTTCTAAGTGCTTTCAAGGAAGATTTACTTCACAAAAGTGTCTTGAAGTGATTGAACCAATGTATTAGCACAAAAAGGTAAGTTTTCAAAGTGATGGAACGAAGAAAAAGAGTAAAATATGTGAACAAAGGAGTGCGTGTCTGCGAGAACTGTTTTAATAAACGTGGCTTCACCTTGTGAAAATGTAGTCATTCGTGGCAAAAAAAGATATGCTTAAACAATGCAATGTTAGTTTGCAACGTGAAACGTTCGAATAAATCCAAATTTGAATCCAAATCAAAATTTAAATGGCGATTTTATGCTATTTTACGGACCCAAGCCTCGTGAAAAAATGTCTCTGTCGCCATATTGAATTTGAACGCGCGTGTGTATATGTATATAAACATATACATTGGTCGGTGGGTAGTTTGGGTTTTTAGTCACTTCGACTTGCGTGATTGTTTTGTTTGGAATTTCTTTATCTCGGGCCCCTGCTCTGGTGGTTGTGAACAAATTAAATTTTATGTTCTAATAAATTTTGTTATCTTTTAGCGAAAACCAACAACTGCGTACTTCACCAAACCAAATACCTTGACCAGAACCGCATCCTGGATCAAGGAGGTAACCCACGGGATACTGACAGTGAAATGGAGCAACTGTTTCAGAGCTACCGTGATGATGAGCGCCGCATCGGCGAGGAGTACCTGTCCAGCCTGCAGGACCTCAACTGCAACAGCAAGCCGCTCATCAATATGCTCACAATGCTCGCCGATGAGAACATCAACTATGCCCATGTCATAGTGAAAGTGGTGGAATATTATATCAGCCAGGTTAACAAAACAAAGCTAATTTACCTAAAGACTAGACACCCAGCACACACACAGTGAACACAAAGTGAACAAAGTACTTACCGGCCGTCGTCGGCGGTTGTAACGTCACAAAAGTGATTCTCCGATCGAAATTGTGATAGAATGTGATCAATTACAATTGTTTTGCGGAGTCTGTTCATTCCCAAAGAAAACCAACGAATGGAAACTATACTATGTTGCGTATAAAAGGTCGACCGCCGCGGCATTCGTTAGTTTTCTTTCGTGAATAAGCAGAATCCCATTCTCTTATAATGCTAGTTAGGTTTCCTTATCTTAATACGTATCGCATAATCTGGGTTTTAAGCAGAGACTGATATTAGTCCTCCACGAAGGTAAGACGTTTAATCTGCTCCTATATTCGTTTCTTTTTCTACTTTGGTTCCCGGAGTTTAAAGCTAACAACAAAAAAAGAAAAATGCAATAAAAAGAGAAAATACTTAAACAATTGTCACCAAGTTGTCTTTTATTTTATACAAAAACATTGACTGCTTACATTCAATCCCAAAGGATGTGCAGCAAGTTTTGTATTGCCGAAAGAAGAGAATCCAGTTTTGGTAAAAGTAATCAGAATTTAGGCGACCCTAGTAACACTTAATACTACAATTTTTTTTGCCCATTTTCACGGTTGATTTCCCATTCCGCATTTCGCCCACGTTGTACACCAGGAACAGGGGACAGACATGTAATATTTATCATACTCGACCACATTTAACCCTCCGAAATCATTGAATATTGTACGTATATGTATGTAGTTTCCCCACGCGAGGCCCCCGATTTTCGTAAATGTTTCCCCTTGAGATAAATCGCCATAGTTGCTAGCATTCGGCCGCTTTACCTTGGAGATATCAAAATAGACTTTGTGCCCAGCAGCCGCTGCCGTTGATGACGCCGCTGGAAGACTGATGATCCTGCTGATGTGTCTGTCTGTCTGTCAGTGTCGTGTCTCTCGAAGATCTCTACCTTCCTCTGTCCGCAGCCCAGATCGCGACTTACTCGCAGTCACTTATTGTTCTCAATTCTTACCTATTTTACCAAACTTCTAACAGGTGGCGCCCGAATTTAAATTGCCCATACTATATTTAATTGATTCGATAGTAAAGAATGTGAAAAGCAGCTACGTCCAGTTATTTGGGCAATGCATAGTCAAAATATTCCTGCACGCCTTTGAGTCGGTAAGTGTTTCGCAGCTTACGTGTTTATACAACATTTCATGGTCGATTATTTGCATATTTGTTCCGCAGGTGCAACACTCTCAGTCCCAGGTTCTCGAAAAGGTGCGCGAAAGAATGTATGCCCTGCGCCAGACCTGGAACGAGGTCTTTCCTCCATCTAAAATGTACGCCCTGGACGTTCAGGTGAAGCGTATGGATGGTAACTGGCCCATTACCGCCAAGCAGCCAACCACCGGCAAGATCCACGTCAATCCGGCGATTCATGTAAATCCAGACTTTCTTAAAACGGTATGGAAATAGTTGGGACTCCAAATAGGATAATACTTATATTGATTTACCCATCTAGGGAATGGTTCCTGTAATGCCTGTTAACTCTACACTGCCCAGCGACATGGAGGAAATTCTCCAGGCCAAGACTAGGGAGCTGCTTGAGCTCAAGAAGCGCAAACTCGAGCTCGAACTGGAGCAAACTAAGAAGCATTTGGAGGAGCAGGAGCGACAGCTCAACCAGGCCACGGACGCTATGTCTGCGGTGCCTACGGCTATGCCAGCTCCAAACTCTTCAGGTGCCGTGCGGCCAACCATAATAGACCCATCCATGATGGGGGCGATACGTCAGCCACGACCCCCAGCACCAGCCGGTAATGCTGCGGCCATGCCAGTGGGCCAATCGGTAAGCGTTCATTAAGAGGTGTTTAAGGCACGATAGCTATAAGGTTGTTTCCGATTTGCAGCAGTTTGCAATCAAGCCGAAGGTTAATCCTGTCAATCCGGCGTTACTGAACTCTGTGCGGCAGCGCGATCCCCGTCTTGCCCGGCAGATGCAATCACAAGCACCGCCACCGACTTCGACTCGAAGTGATCCTCGCCTCGAGGGCAAGTCGAACTCGGCCAGCTCGCAAAAATCTAGTCGATCGCGCAGCAAATCGCCTGTGCGTAACAGCAGCAGTCGCTCAGGAAAGAGCAGCAGCTCGCACCACAGCAGCTCCTCCAGCCGCAAGCGCAGCGAGTCGAAGAGCTCCACGGCCTCCTCGTCATCGTCAGGATCTGAAGTACGACCCAAGGGCGGCAGTGGGACCGGCAGCTCTCAGTCTCCGGGTAAACGGTCTAGCAAGCAGTCGTCCAAGGAGCACGGGGAGCGTTACGCTCGCAACGGTTCACCAACGGGATCATCGAAGAGAAAGAGCTCCTCGCCAAGCAGCTCGCCATCGAAGCCCAAACGCAGCTCGTCAAGCAAATCCTCTTCCTCAAGAGGGAAGTCATCGTCGGTTCGATCACGCAGTCGTTCTCCGGTATTCATGGACCTGGGTTTGCACAGCAAGTCCCCAGAGAGAAAGGCGGCAGCACCTACATCTTTTCCTCAAACGGTCAGCTTACCGTCATCATCAGCAACAGCTGCTAAAGCTCCAAATGATTTAGAGAAACGTAAGATACAACTTTTAATTCTAATTTTGCATTTGTTAGCCAACAACCAAGTGGACATCGACTTGGAACTTAGCCATATCCACAGCGTAGTAGAAAGTGCAGAAATTACGTACCAAACTGGCGGCACACGATGGCTTAGGCAGGGGGGCGGGTTGGCATTGGCGGGTTGACTCGTTGCGGGGAGGATTCGTTGTCCTGTGATTTAATCTGTGATCGGCATGGTCTCCTCATGGGGGAGAACCATGGGTGATAGTCGCTAGAACGTTGTTTGATTTCAACTCCTGCGAAATGGCTAGGATCCATCCAGGATCACCAAAACTATTTTCCTAAAGATCAGTCATGAGAGAGTTTTTTGATTTGATGGAACTCGTTTCAATCTCCGCTTTTTTCTGGCCCAGTCGTTGTGGATTGTAGGCAATTGATTTCATTTTAAGGCAACTAAATCGATCTCATAATACCTTTACGCCATATTTTCTTATAAATACTTAAGCTTTCGTTAAAGAACTCTTAACAATTTTACGATTTCTGAACTAAAGTGTAAATAAAATGTGTTGAAAACCTTTTGCATTCCAAGTTGTTTTAATTAATGCAAAAACGTAGCCTGGTGCCGCCTTTGGTGTGATTTAAATTTTATCCTACTCGTACTATTTATAAATGTTAAACGAAACAGTAAACCTTAATTGAACTAAACCAAAACTAAATAATGATAACTGTGAAGTATTTGCTGTACCTCGAAACTGACTATTGATAAAACCGATTAGATGAAGAGAAACAAAAATAAAATAAAGACTGCAGTTTTAATTTGTTGTTGACACCCACGTAAATCCTAAGAGCCATTCTTCACGCTGATCAAAATGAAAAGAATGCCGTTCGGAAAGCTTGTTGTAACCCAGATTAAGTTTATTTTTGTTTTAAGCGTACTTTGTGGTTGGCTTCGATGTATATGAAGGCCAGCTAGTGGTATCTCTTATGTATATCTGTATTATTTTGTATTTGTAGAACGGCACTTTTACCCTTTAGTATATACTTTCCATTAAGTATCACATTTTTTTTATACATAGCCTAACCCCGATTACGCCACAGCTCTCGATCGGAGCTCGCGGGCTCCAATCCCATACTATTTATTTATTTCTTTCACTAATTTCTCTAGCCTTATTGTTGTGCCTGGTGTTTGTTGATCTTTTGCTCCCCTTATGATTTCATTATTATTTTGCCCCCAATCCCCCCTCGGTTTGATTTGCTTAGCACTTTATGCCTCATTTATCCTCCCGATTTCCCCCGTTGAATTCATCTGATTATGATTACCACCTTCTCTCTGCCGTAAAAATAAAAAGTGTGCCCAAAAGCAAAATCATTTTCTAGCAACATTTCAAATACTTGAACCAGGCCCTCCTCCAGCTCCTTCATGTCCGCCAATTATAGATGTATCGAGTAAGGACATTGACTTGAGGCGTCCAAAGACGCCGCCTCCCCCGACATTCGACTCACCGGAATCGCTCGACCAGATGCCATGTAGCAGCAACAGCGGCACAACAATACTTGCTAGCGGCGTCTCCAACGCCTCCTTTTCATCGTCCGACGCATCCACTTCTAAATTACCCGCAAAAGTGTCGTTCAAAATACAAAAACAGTTTAATAAATTAGAAAAATCTACAGCGAATCTATCAACAGCATCACTGCTAAATGTCGCCTCAGCAGCAGCTCCAACCAACGCAAGTCTAGTCAGACCATCATCGTCCAGCCTCTTGGCCTCATCAGTTGCCTCGCAGGGTAATGTATCTGAGGCTCTGCAGCAGTCGATCTCCAAGCTACTGAAGGTCCAGGGCGTTACTGGGGTCGGTGAAAAGCGGCCGGCCGATCCTTTGCATCCGGAAGTTGATCTTGAGGAGAAACCCCCGCAACAGAAACGCAGCAAGTCAGCCAAACTGGACGCGTAAGTTGTTGCCTAAAAACTTTCATTAGAAATACTATAATTTTGGACACTTTTTAGTCTATTTGGAAGCGAGGATGTGGATTTGCGTCGCGAGATGCCTGTAGGAAAGCCAAGTCCCTCAGGAGTTATCGTGGTGGAGGACGACTCCATGGATAACTGCGATGTAAGTCAACCTTAGCTATTTGACTTCGATTTTTATTCACAAAGATTTGTTCACCTTAGCACATAACCAAAGCCGGTCTGCCTTCAAAGCAGCCAACCCTTCAGGAAATTCGCGCCAAGTTGGCCAAATCAGCTCGTCTTGAAAACAAGACAAGCAAGTCCGGTAAGTAATTCTTCAAGGAACCATCAACCAAGACTCAATATTGGTTATTTCCAGACAAGGGTAGAGATCAAGCCGTTATCCAGCGCCACAAGCAGCTGGCCGAGCTAAGGACCAACGAAGACTCCCAGGAGGCACACGTCGAGAAGGTGCGCACGATTCTCAGTCAAGCGCATGAGATGCTCGAAAACCACAGTATGAATCAGGAGCAGTACAAGGATCTTGTGCAAAAGGTGGTGGCTATCAATGAGAATAGCAAGGTGAAGGACCCCCGCCGGCGCGATGATGATCCGGATCTGGAGCGAAATGCGGCCAGAGACGCAGTGCTGCGCAAACGAATTCCTAAACTGAAGGGCAACGAGAATCACTCCTCAGGATCGCCCCGCAGCGATGGCTCGCCCAGATACGATGATCCGCCAGCCAACGCTGCTGAGAAAACTTTGAACAAGCGAGACAAGTCGAAGAGGGAGAACAAGCGCCGAAAGCCCAGCAAATGGGGTGAGCAGGTGGATCCAGCTGCGGCCCAAAGAGCTGCCTGGCAGCTGGCCAATGCCAACAACAATAACAACAACAACAATAAGCGCGCTGGATTCAGAGGCATGCCATGGCAACAGCCGCCGGCACTCGTGATGCCGCAGTCAGCAGTGCCACCGCCTCCACAGCCGCCTTCGATGATGGGTCTGCCGCCTGTCCCTCCAGTTACAATGGCTAAGGCCATCAATTCACTGGACAATCCAATGGCGGATGTAGTTCGCAGCATTACCATTGACGGCGGTTCCAAGGAGATTCGCTTCTACAACCAAGTGGCCATCATCTTCATGGACGGCGATGAGCCGCATGAAATTGGCTTTCAGCATGGCCAGCGTGTGATCCTCATCGACAACAATGAACCACTGCCCCTTTGTTTTAACGACGACTATAAGCCGTTCCAGCTTGACGGGCAGTTGCATCGCATCCGCTTCGGTTTTCCCTCACGGGAACTGTACATCGACGATCATTGGTATGAGATCTACTTTGGAGGACCCCCAGTCTCAGTGCCTATTGGGAATAAGATTCATGTACTAAAGGCGGAGGGTCCTCCCCCAAATGTGGACATTGGTCGTGTGCGTCGAGATCTGGTCGTTGGAAAGATCAACATGATAGTGGATGCCCATACAATTGTGCCTCTCTTCTTGGACGCCAGGCAACAGACTTTCCAACTAGGAGCCGAGCAGCACTCGCTTCAGTTTGTAGACAGCTTCCATTACGCGCTTTTGGATGGTCAGCTGCAGAAAATCGAGTACGGTGGCCTTCCAAAGGGAATGAAGTTGAACGGTGGTCGCAGCTGCTTCATAAGATTCGGCACTCTGCCCAAAGGTGTTGTGGCTGGCAAAACACACGTGGCGGATATGGTTTACATTAAGACCGAAGCTCCTGCCGAGCCACCCCAACCTCCGCCGCTGATTGTTAAGCAAGCTCCGCCTGTGGAGCAGCCCGCAGTGGTGCCTTCTGCAGCTCCGCCAGTCTCCCTGCCAGCGGCAGCAGCAGCCTTGGGCAGTCTTAACATCAATGAGCTGTTCCAGAAGCTCGTTTCCTCGGGAATAATTGGTGGAACTGCACCTGTTGCAGCTGCAACAGCCACCCCGGCTTCATCAGCCCCGAAGGAAGCTAATCTTCCTCCAGTGTCTTCAGAAGATGCAGGTCCGACGGCTACGCCAGTTCCTACGCCAGCTGCTCCGCCCTCGGAACCCATTAAACGCATTAACCTCCACAAGCCCGAGACTATTAAGACTCGTCAGTCTGCGGTGATCGCTACTCTTTATCTTGGCATGCAATGCAGTAGCTGTGGAGTGCGGTTTCCGCCTGAACAGACGATTAAATACAGCCAACATCTGGATTGGCACTTCCGGCAGAACCGCAGGGAACGTGACTCTACCCGAAAAGCCACCTCGAGGAAGTGGTACTACGATCTCAACGATTGGAGGCAGTACGAGGAAATTGAGGATGTCGAGGAGCGTGAGAAGAACTTCCTGGAGGCGCAAGGTCAACCCGGGGGACCAGATGCGATTGATGAACTCTCCCAGCAGCGATCGCTGGACTCGCCGATGCCAACGTGTGCCGCCGGAGCTGACGATGTGGACCGCAGTTGCGACATGTGCCACGAGAAGTTCGAGCAGTTCTACAACGAAGAGCTGGAGGAGTGGCATCTCCGCAGCGCCATCCGGGTAGAGGATAAGATCTATCACCCACTGTGTTATGAAGACTACAAGGCCTCTTTGAATCCTCCGGCTGTGGAAAAAATAAACGGAGATGTTAACATGAACAACAGTGACGACAATGCCATGGATACGCTTATCAAGGTGGAAGAAATCGATGACGATGATGATGGTAAGTTAAAGTAGCAGTTTAAAAATGTCCATTTCTTAACTTCTGATTTCTTGAACAGAGCCTGCCAAACCATCCCAAACCATGTTTGATGATGATGATGATGATGTCATTGTTCTGCCAAACGAAGAACCCAGCGTTACCGAAATCGTCGACGATGATGATGACGAGTACATCCCCGGCAACGTGACAAGAGCGGAAATGGGAAATGAGTCCCAGGACAAGACCGAGTCCACTTCGGCGGGCAAAGAAACGGAGAAGCAGCCAGACGACTCTGAAAAGCACTCACAGAGTGAGTCCGATGTAGCCAACGAGTCAGATGTAGAGATCCAGGAGCCAAACATTCCCTTCACCGATTTGGACACGTACGTGGAGAAGGAGATCGACGACGAGACCAGGGCGGCGATGCTCAACGTAAAGATTAAGGAGGAGCCCAAGGACGATTACGAGGATGACGAGGACGACGGTTTTGAGGATGTCGGCACTGTGGTTCCACTTTTGCCTCTTCCCGAGGACGAGATCTCCATACACAGCAGCGGTAAGTATCTTAGTTCCTTAGCAGTTCTTAATCAAGTTGCTCACTCATCTGGAACCATGGCAGAAACACAAACGCAGACCATCGCCTCGTCGGCCTCGCCGACCACCATTGAGAGACCGGCATCTGTGCTATCCCTGTCATTACCCGCCAACGAAGCGGACGACCTGGAGCCGGCAGAGACGGGTGGCTCTGTCGCTGAGCCAGAACTGAACGGAGAGCAGGCGCAGGAGACTACCCACAACCTGAGCGCAGCGGGTCCGGCGTTACCTTTGGCTAGCATAGTTAATAAAATAAAGATAAATATCACTAAGAATACAAGTAGTAATAGTAATAATAGTGCCTCCAACGCCACCGCCATGCCATCTTCATCGTCGGCGACGACGGACTCGCAAGTATCAGCCATCAGTGTCATCGGAGGAGCTGGAGCTGCATCAGGTGTATCCGGATCCGGAGAAGCCACGCAGCAGGTGAACGCCATTCAAACGATTTCCACCATTCCAGTGCTGTGCGGCGGAAATACGTTCGTGCCGAAGATTGCTACCAGCACTCCTTCCAGCGTCATAAGCTCGATCTCTGTGATTGGAAGTAGTTACGGCAGTGGCAGCAGCAGTAACAACGGAAGCAACAGTCGGTCAAGCAGTTCCGTGCCTTCAACGGTTGCCGGGACAATTCCTGCGGAAGCGGAGAAGTCGGCGGCCACACCTCCACCGGCTGCCGTGGAGCCAGATCCCGAGCCGGTGGTAGAACTGAAACCGGCGCTTCGGAACGTGACCCTCAAGCGTACGAAAAAGGTTCAGAACGGCATTGAGACCTCCGGCCTGTGTTCGATTATGTAAATCGATCGATCGGCGCACTGATATTCCTATTTTATTATTAATTCGATTATTTTTACACGTTACTTAGTTTTAGATAGCCGGCGCGATTATCTCTCGTGCTTTGTAGGTACCCAAAGTAGCTCCACATTTAGGGAGCTTCGTGCAAATACGCCTCAACATAACTTATTATCGAAAAAACTCGCAAAACTTAATAAAAAACCCACTTAAAAAAAAAACAAAGTATACATAATTTGTGATAATTTTATAACACTAGAAAACAAATCGGAATTCCCTTGTGTAATTATGTTTATTTTTTTATGCTGATTTGAAATAAAGCCAAAATGAATATCACAAAAATATTGAATTTGTATTTAGTCGATACTTCATATTAAATGCCTAATAAAACCCTATATCCAATTGCAAATCAAGATTTTTTATTATTAAAATCTCTATTTTTACGAGAAGTCTTTTATGATTGTACTCCAAGAACGGGAACATTTGAAATTCGCGCCATCTTCAGCGTTTTCCTGATAGAGTTACCAGCTTGTCGTCAGAACGCTGGACCAACAGCTGTTTCCCCAGAAACGGACTAAAAATTACCCAGCGCTTTATAATATGCACGTGGGCTCACAACGTTTATTTTAGTTTTTTGTAAAGAAATTTGAATTGAAGCCATTATACAGGACTTTCTTCAGGATGTCGTCTTCTTTTTTCCTTAAGCCTGGCTCAAAAGCCGGCAAAAAGCGCAAGGTAAGTCCGAAGGGTCGGAAAAAGTAGAAACACCTGTAACGTTCTCCAAAGAATCCCACAGTAGGAGCAGCAACAACAAAAGGAAAACCCCTCAAAAAAGGTGGGAAACCGGGCAAGTCTGCAAAATCAGGACAACCAGCCACAGGTCCCGTGCCAAAGAAGCAGCGGCGACCCAAGGAGGAGGACGAGGAGATTGCCAGTGATGACGATGAGTACAACAGCGACGCGGGCGGCAATACGCTGGCATTTTCCTCTGACGAAGGCGAAGAGGAGACACCCCAAGACAAACGCCTTCGCCTAGCCAAGCAATACCTTACGGAGATCGAGAAGCAGGAAGCTGAACGTGCAGAAGACAAGGAACTGAGTCAAAGTGTGGAACAGCGCTTACAAACAGAATACCTGGATAGCGTGGGCAAACTTCGTAGAAACATAGCCGGCAGTCTGAAGTCTTGCGATACCAGCCGAGTTCTTAAGCACAAAATCCATCACACGCCCATCTGTTCCTTGGCCCTTAGTCCGGACGGAAAGTTTCTATTCGCTGGAGCCAAGTCGCAGTTCTTGCTGAAATGGTGCACGGAAACTGGCAAAGTACTGGCGAAATCAGACGTTCTGCCGCACAGGGAAGAGCCTGAAACAGGCAAGAAACGCCGTTCCCATATCATCGCCATCTGCTTGTCCTCGGATATGAAGTATCTGGCTTTGGCCGAAGGTGGGCCCCACATCCAAATCTGGTGCCCGCAGACGATGAAACACTTAAAAACCCTAAAGGGTCACAGAGATAGTGTAGCGGGACTGGTTTTCCGCAAGGGAACCCACGATTTGTACTCGGCTGCCAAAGATCGATCAGTGAAGATTTGGTCCCTCGATGAAATGGCCTATGTAGAGAGTTTGTAAGTGTAGTGCAATTCCGGCTTGTGCTTTGAATACTATTTAATTTCTTATCCTTCTCTCTAGATTCGGTCACCAGACGGGAGTAACCAGTATAGATGCATTAAGTCGAGAGCGAGCAATAACCGCTGGTGGTTCGGATTGCTCGTTGCGTATTTGGAAAATAACAGAGGAGTCGCAACTAATTTACAACGGCCACAAAGACAGCATTGAATGCGTGAAGCTCATCAACGATGAGCACTTTGTTTCAGGCGGGATGGACGGGTAACTTTTAAATTACTTCATGATGAACATGGTTATATCGATTGTGTTTTTCAGAGCCGTTAGTTTATGGAGCGCTTTGAAGAAAAAGCCAATTTGCACCACGCAGTTGGCGCATGGACTTGGGGAGAATAAGGTGGCCAACTGGCTCACAGCAGTGGCTGTGGTAGTCAACACGGATTTGGTGGCAACAGGTTGCTTTTCTTAGTTTTATCTTGGGTAGTCCTTCCTCTAACCTCTGTGTCTATTTAGGGTCCTGCGACGGCTTTGTCCGACTCTGGCAAACGAATCCAAACGCCCGAAAACTGGAAGAAATTCGAAGCATACCTATTGCCGGGTTCATCAATGGGCTGGTCTTTAACAGCGACGGAACCAAGTTGTTTGTGGCCGCCGGTCAGGAGCACCGCTTGGGTCGATGGTGGCGACACAAGGAGGCCAAGAATCATATAGTTGTAGTCGATGTAAAGCTACAGAACGCGGCTAGCAAATAGGTTTAGTAATAATAGTAAGTTGTATAGTTCATGTAACCAGTTACAGCCTGAAAATGTAAAATTAAAAAGATTTTAGTGAGAATTTTTGGCTTCTTTATTTTTACAGGATCACAAAATATTAACATAATCTCTAATTACTAATTACTTATGTCTTGTTACTCATTTAACATCTACCTTAGCTATCAGTGGTAGTATTTATTTTGTTTTTAAATCGCGCGGGACTAGTGTGACCAACTGCAGGATGTTTTTGAACAAATATTCTCTTTCATTAGCTTCTGCTTCCACACTGCGATTACAAAACAACTGGCGAGCAACGATGAAGCCGAAATTAAAATCCGGTGGAGGCTTTTTCTCCTTTTTTAAGACTGAAACAGGACGGCGACTGGTTTTTTATGCGGCGGGAACCACAACAGTAGGACTATTTGTCGGAAACTTCCTGCCCCACACATTCGGCCTGAAGTATTACCAGCAGTTTGTGCAATGCTACCAGTGGGTACAAAATTAGATTCGACTTCGATGTTAAATTAACACCCATGTATTCGGTTTCAGAAACGGTGTGGAGCGCCCTGTCCCTCCAGCTGTGCTGCAGCGGCTGGAGAAGGCTCAGGATCAGCTGGGGCTTGGTCCCTTTGAGCGAAAGTTCGTTAAGCCCTTCACAGTCTTCGGATTCGATCTCTTCCAGGCGGGCACGACCAAGATGCGTTTCGGCGGTGCTGTGGGAATACCGGTAAACTATGGTTACTCCAGTCCGGAAGAGATAAAGCGGGCAGATATACGATTTAGGGATCGGCAAATAAACTGGAGTTCCCCCAGCGGAAAGCTATTGGAAGAGGCGATTGTCTTGAACGAAGATGAGCAGGTTTTCGGGTTGACTAAAACTGTGCTGCAGTTGCAGACCCATCGCGTGTTGCTGAATTCCATCTTTCCTAGTGTTAGCTTTCTTATGGTATACACCATGGGTCACTACTTGAACCTGCGACTCAATTTATTCGCCCGCCATGGAAGTGTAAGCTTGGAAAGGTTCACAAAAATATGTAAGACAGGTACTAATAATTCTTGAAATCTTAGGTCCGCTTCGTTTTGTACAGCATCCTTGGACTTTTTGGAGTTGGTATGTGGTCTTTTATGAAGGACTTTAACCAGGTCTCCACGGATGCTAATATTGACAAGACACTGGCTTCCATGGGCCCCAAATTCGTAGCTGCTGGGGTCAGCTACTACGATAAGCATTTGAAAAAGAACATTGCTTTAAGGGACTTGATTGGGGATGATACCTACACTGCCTTGGGAAACGAAAACTACATGTTGCGACAAAAGTCGATGCCGTTGACTGCCCGGAAATCATTCTTTTTGGAGAAGTTGGAGGAACTTAAAAAAACACCTGAAACACAATAAATAGGTTAATTGTTGTTTTTATTGCATGTAATGAAGAATATTTTTATTATATCTATGAGTAGCCTATAACAATGGATAGTTGTCCCTAAAACAAAATTTCGCATGGGTTGTCTCCTCAAGGAGCCTCGTGAATTGACTAGAATCAAGCGACGTATCGCTGGAAATGTTACATGGAATGTTTATATAAAAACGCTTAATTATTAAAATGTTTCCTCCCCAACCACATCACTGATAGTGGCCACAAGGCGTCTGGCATGCTCCACGGCACAGGTTGCGGTGACTAGTCCCAAATGTATGCAGTAAAGTTCGTAGACTCGCACTTTTCCTGGCGTCAGCTTGGGAAAGCACAGTTCGGCCAAATCGTGGTAGTAATCCATGGTGAGGGCACCCGGCTCTGTTGGAGTTTTCTGCCCGCTGGCCGCACCCGTAGAAAGAAAATGCTGTTGTAGATCTAGTGTTGAATTTAAAATAGTTCCCGACTGATCTTCAAACCAAAGAAAGTAGGAGTAGTGAAAGGCCTTGTCTTTCCAAATAACAGTGGTCTGACCCTTCTTTAGGTAACTTCGAGCAATGTCCACCATGCTCCAGAGTTTTGACTTCGGCACTAGTTGGTTGGGCCGCAAATCGGGAGCCAGCATCTGCCCCTTGCTGCGATTCACATACATGAAGTGTACTAATCCCGGAAAGTCCTCCAGATAAGCATCAATAGATATGTTACGTGTGGCTTTGACGGCTAAAAACTCGGCAAATTCTAAAAGTTTTGCTTCCACATTTGCTGCCGTCTCAGAGAGTTGATCTAGTTCGTGGACACTTGAACTGTCACAACATGCCAGAGTAAAAAGGTGTTTTAATTCTTCCCCAAAAGACGGGAGATTGGACTCGATTCGTACAAGCAGCTCGCGTTCAAAGTTCTTGAAGTATTCTAGATACATCTTTCGTAAATTCTCCCACTTTGCGGAAAACTTTTTTATGCAGTTTTCCAAATCTTCCGGCCTCTGCTTAAGATATCTTTTCAGAGCCGTCAGAGTTTGGCCAACAAAGGATTCCAGATTCTCATAGGCGGGTTTTAAAGCATCAGAATCGCCCTGGTGTTGCACGTTGATAATCTTTTGGAACACGAAAAATGTGTCGTAGATACAGCTGGTTAGTGGCATGCTGGAATACTCAATGACCTGCAGTAGGGCCTGATTACCATGCAATCGAGATATGTGCACAATGCTCGGCACACATCCGGAGTTCACATCGTGGGAGACGCCTTGGAGAAACACGGCCACTGCTCGGTGTGCTGGAGATTTAGGGGATTGCAGAGTTCGCGACATCAGACTAAGGAATAGCAAATCAGCGGCAGCTAGCGGAAGAGCCTGTCGGGTGCTATTGGCGGCAACCAGTTTGTTGGAGACTATAAGGAGAGCATGGGCTCTTGGGAGACCCGCCTGTCGTAGCTGCTCCAGTGTGGCATCCAGCGTTAGGTGTACCGTTCTCTTCAGCTCTGCGTTGATCAGCAGTTTAGGCATGGACTCCAGAAGGTAGGCCTGGTCCTCCTGCAACAGCAGGGTTTCGTAGCAGTCTAGGCACTGCGTCAAAAGCTCCTGCTGCATCGCACCTGCCTGGGCGGAAAATAGATTGGCTCCATAGCAGTAACGCGTAAGAGTGATGGCAACACCCATCTGCCGACCAAGCTGCTCCACGGGTGTGTGTCCAATCTTCAGAAAAGTGAACCCAAGGTGTTCCCCAAAAACCAGGTTGAAGCCTTGCTCGCACTGGAGGCTGGCATAGGCGTTGTCAAATTGGCACTGCATTATCCGTTGCGAGCCCACAATGGGACTAAAAATCTGCAGCAATATGTTGCTGTCCACCATGCAACCCGTTTCCTGCACCCCGGAAGGAAGCAGCCCTTGGGCGACGGCTACATCGCAGATCTTTTGAGCTAGAGCGTGATTTAGCTTTTGGTAGACTACGTCGTTGGCGCTGTTAAATACAATCAATCCGTTCATTTTCTTATCAGCAGCAAATCACAAAAACACAATAGACACGACACAGTGTTGGATTAGGAAGGTTTTTTTAAGTTTTTCAACACTTAAAAATCACTGTTAATGAGGGGAGCCAAAACTCTGCTTATATCTCCAATTTGAGTTAAAAATATAAAATCCTATATAAATCCTGTATATACATAGCCGTTGCAGTAATTTCTTATAAAAAAATGTATCCATCCACAAAAGACAACCGGTAGCAATGGGAGTAGACATTCCTGCTGTGAACAATCACTGTAATCGGAGAAGGAATTTGGAAATTTGTTTATCGCTGGCATCAGCTGTTGCTATGTGCCCACGCTTCCTCTTCTATATGCTCCTTTGTTATCAAAAATCGGACAGTGATTTAACTATTTAAGCTGATATGGGACGTCTAAATCTGGAGCACACGCTGCAGGGCCACAAAGGACGCATTTGGGGGGTGGCTTGGCACCCAAAAGGAAACGTGTTCGCCTCCTGCGGCGAGGACAAGGCCATCCGAATTTGGTCTCTGAACGGTAATACATGGACCACCAAAACCATTCTCTCCGATGGACACAAACGGACCATCCGTGAAATTCGTTGGTCACCATGCGGACAGTACTTGGCCTCGGCGAGCTTCGATGGAACTACGGCCATCTGGTCGAAATCTTCTGGAGAATTCGAATGCAATGCTACGTTGGAGGGGCACGAAAACGAGGTGAAGAGCGTGAGTTGGTCGCGGTCTGGAGGCTTGCTGGCTACCTGTTCGCGAGATAAGTCAGTGTGGATCTGGGAGGTCGCCGGCGATGATGAATTTGAGTGTGCAGCTGTTCTTAATCCGCACACACAGGACGTGAAGCGAGTGGTGTGGCATCCGACCAAAGAGCTTCTTGCATCTGCCTCCTACGACAACACTATCAAGATGTTTGCGGAGAGCGCACTGGACAACGACTGGGATTGCGTAGCCACATTATCCTCTCACACGAGCACCGTCTGGAGTATCGACTTTGATGCCAGTGGAGAGCGTTTGGTCTCTTGCAGTGATGACACCTCACTTAAGATCTGGCAAGCTTACCATCCTGGCAATGATGCGGGCGTAGCCACTCCCGACAAGCAGACAGTGTGGAAGTGCGTCTGCACAATCTCCGGACAACATTCACGGGCCATATACGACGTTTCCTGGTGCAAGTTAACGAACTTGATAGCGACTGCCTGCGGCGACGATGGCATTCGGATATTTAAGGAAACCAGCGATTCCAAACGGGATGAGCCAACTTTTGAGCAACTTACCGCTGAGGAGGGTGCCCACGATCAGGATGTAAACTCGGTAGAATGGAATCCTGTGGTGGAAGGACAACTAATATCATGCAGCGATGATGGCACCATTAAATTGTGGAAAATGACCGAGTAGCTAGACTAATGTGAGGTATATTTAAGTGACTTAACAATAACGGAACTTTGTTTTTTTGTACAAAATGTCCTAACGAGAAATTAAAGTATTCCCACGAGAGATGGATGTTTGTAACGCTGAACTTTCATGTAAGATCGCCGTTATGAAAGCTACTTGCTAAGAAATGGTTCTTGGAGTGTCTTATGCAGCTTTTTGGCCTTACGGGGTCCCAAGCCTATCACCTGGGATAGCCTTTCTTCGCTGGCGGTGATGATGTTGCCCAGATTGCCAAAGGTCTGCAGTAAGGTAACAGCGTCTGTTTTATTGACCGGTTTTATGTTGGTTAAAGCTGTAACAAGCTGAAACAGGGATCTTTTTTTACTCTTGCACTTTAATATATTCTATTGTCTTCACCTTTTGATGCGAATTAGACTCTACCCTTTCCATAATCAAGTCTGGTGGACGTTTCTCAAACTGCTTATAGGTCTCAATAATTTTTCCAGCTTCTTCATGATTCCAGGCCAGCATCATAGTGAGGTCGGCTAGCAGGGAAATCCTTGTTAGACTTTTGAGTGCATTGTGTGGCTCCGGCGTGTCTACTTGGACTAAAAGCACTCGCAAATCGTACATTTTGCCCAGCGTCTTCAGTCGTTGGCAAATGTAATCCGGGTTGAGATTGTGGTACTTCAGCGACAAATAAAGGACGCAAGAGGTCCTGCCAACCACGTAGTCTGGGACAATATCGTCCCGGTACTCAAGGGGCACATTTTGGATGGACTTTAGAATAGGATTACCCCGTTGTTTGCTGTGGACCAAGACGGAGTGCGGGTTAGAAGCTGGTTTAGCCGCTGCACCAGTCGAGCTGCTGGTACTTGGCGCAGCTGCTGTCACTGTCGAATGATCTATTTTGGCCTGCTTTGTGGAAGAGGGCAACATCGTTTTAATTAGAGTAGCGAATTAAATAAATAAGAGTTAGATGAATTTTGACCAATCTCATGTTCGAAAGTGGTATTTATAACAAGGGTTATCGATATAACATCGCCATATAAAAGCACTTAATTGTAGTCGATAGGTGGAAAAATTCGTTAGAACTTTAAATGACTATTTAAACTTTAGCTCCAAACCAAGTCAGTATCTAGATCTTTTCTAGTATTCCCTCAGCGGAATACATTAAAGCTCCATTTTCCTTGTAATTCCATTTCGAAAATTTTCCATCCCTACTTTTTTAAATTTTTCTGATGGAACAGGGATTTCTATTTTGGCCCCAAACCAAGTCCATATCTTGGCCAATTTTCATCCGATCCTTGCGAGGAGTACCTTAAACGATTTGTAGTTTGATTCTGCTTCAATCTGCATCAAAATCTCAAGACGAAAATTTTGATCCCGATTTTTCAAATTTTTCTGATGGAACCCCTTGTAAAATCCGGGATTTCCATTTTGACCCCAAACCAAGTCCATATCTTGGCCAATTTACATCCGATCCTTGAGAGGAGTACCTTAAACGATTTGTAGTTGGATTCTGCTTCAATCTGCATCAAAATCTCAAGACGAAAATTTTGATCCCGATTTTTCAAATTTTTCTGATGGAACCCCTTGTAAAATCCGGGATTTCTATTTTGGCCCCAAACCAAGTCCATATCTTGGCCAATTTTCATCCGATCCTTGAGAGGAGTACCTTAAACGATTTGTAGTTGGATTCTGCTTCAATCTACATCAAAATCTCAAGACGAAAATTTTGATCCCGATTTTTCAAATTTTTCTGATGGAACCCCTTGTAAAATCCGGGATTTCTATTTTGGCCCCAAACCAAGTCCATATCTTGGCCAATTTTCATCCGATCCTTGAGAGGAGTACCTTAAACGATTTTTAGTTTGATTCTGCTTCAATCTGCATCAAAATCTCAAGACGAAAATTTTGATCCCGATTTTTCAAATTTTTCTGATGGAACCCCTTGTAAAATCCGGGATTTCTATTTTGGCCCCAAACCAAGTCCATATCTTGGCCAATTTTCATCCGATCCTTGAGAGGAGTACCTTAAACGATTTGTAGTTGGATTCTGCTTCAATCTGCATCAAAATCTCAAGACGAAAATTTTGATCCCGATTTTTCAAATTTTTCTGATGGAACCCCTTGTAAAATCCGGGATTTCCGTTTTGGCCCCAAACCAAGTCCATATCTTGGCCAATTTTCATCCGATCCTTGAGAGGAGTACCTTAAACGATTTGTAGTTGGATTCTGCTTCAATCTGCATCAAAATCTCAAGACGAAAATTTTGATCCCGATTTTTCAAATTTTTCTGATGGAACCCCTTGTAAAATCCGGGATTTCCATTTTGGCCCCAAACCAAGTCCATATCTTGGCCAATTTTCATCCGATCCTTGAGAGGAGTACCTTAAACGATTTTTAGTTGGATTCTGCTTCAATCTGCATCAAAATCTCAAGACGAAAATTTTGATCCCGATTTTTCAAATTTTTCTGATGGAACCCCTTGTAAAATCCGGGATTTCCATTTTGGCCCCAAACCAAGTCCATATCTTGGCCAATTTTCATCCGATCCTTGAGAGGAGTACCTTAAACGATTTGTAGTTGGATTCTGCTTCAATCTGCATCAAAATCTCAAGACGAAAATTTTGATCCCGATTTTTCAAATTTTTCTGATGGAACCCATTGTAAAATCCGGGATTTCCATTTTGGCCCCAAACCAAGTCCATATCTTGGCCAATTTTCATCCAATCCTTGAGAGGAGTACCTTAAACGATTTGTAGTTGGATTCTGCTTCAATCTGCATCAAAATCTCAAGACGAAAATTTGGATCCCGATTTTTCAAATTTTTCTGATGGAACCCCTTGTAAAATCCGGGATTTCCATTTTGGCCCCAAACCAAGTCCATATCTTGGCCAATTTTCATCCGATCCTTGAGAGGAGTACCTTAAACGATTTGTAGTTGGATTCTGCTTCAATCTGCATCAAAATCTCAAGACGAAAATTTGGATCCCGATTTTTCAAATTTTTCTGATGGAACCCCTCGTAAAATCCGGGATTTCCATTTTGCCCCCAAACCAAGTCCATATCTTGGCCAATTTTTATCCGATCCTTGAGAGGAGTACCTTAAACGATTTGTAGTTTGATTCTGCTTCAATCTGCTTCAAAATCTCAAGACGAAAATTTTGATCCCGATTTTTCAAATTTTTCTGATGGAACCCCTTGTAAAATCCGGGATTTCCATTTTGGCCCCAAACCAAGTCCATATCTTGGCCAATTTTCATCCGATCCTTGAGAGGAGTACCTTAAACGATTTGTAGTTGGATTCTGCTTCAATCTGCATCAAAATCTCAAGACGAAAATTTTGATCCCGATTTTTCAAATTTTTCTGATGGGGTTCAATCTCAAGACGAAAATTTTGATCCCGATTTTTCAAATTTTTCTGATGGAACCCCTCGTAAAATCCGGGATTTCCATTTTGGCCCCAAACCAAGTCTATATCTTGGCCAATTTTCATCCAATCCTTGAGAGGAGTACCTTAAACGATTTGTAGTTGGATTCTGCTTCAATCTGCATCAAAATCTCAAGACGAAAATTTGGATCCCGATTTTTCAAATTTTTCTGATGGAACCCCTTGTAAAATCCGGGATTTCCATTTTGGCCCCAAACCAAGTCCATATCTTGGCCAATTTTTATCCGATCCTTGAGAGGAGTACCTTAAACGATTTGTAGTTGGATTCTGCTTCAATCTGCATCAAAATCTCAAGACGAAAATTTGGATCCCGATTTTTCAAATTTTTCTGATGGAACCCCTCGTAAAATCCGGGATTTCCATTTTGGCCCCAAACCAAGTCCATATCTTGGCCAATTTTCATCCAATCCTTGAGAGGAGTACCTTAAACGATTTGTAGTTGGATTCTGCTTCAATCTGCATCAAAATCTCAAGACCAAAATTTGGATCCCGATTTTTCAAATTTTTCTGATGGAACCCCTTGTAAAATCCGGGATTTCCATTTTGGCCCCAAACCAAGTCCATATCTTGGCCAATTTTCATCCGATCCTTGAGAGGAGTACCTTAAACGATTTGTAGTTGGATTCTGCTTCAATCTGCATCAAAATCTCAAGACGAAAATTTTGATCCCGATTTTTCAAATTTTTCTGATGGAACCCATTGTAAAATCCGGGATTTCCATTTTGGCCCCAAACCAAGTCCATATCTTGGCCAATTTTCATCCAATCCTTGAGAGGAGTACCTTAAACGATTTGTAGTTGGATTCTGCTTCAATCTGCATCAAAATCTCAAGAAGAAAATTTTGATCCCGATTTTTCAAATTTTTCTGATGGAACCCCTTGTAAAATCCGGGATTTCCATTTTGGCCCCAAACCAAGTCCATATCTTGGCCAATTTTCATCCGATCCTTGAGAGGAGTACCTTAAACGATTTGTAGTTGGATTCTGCTTCAATCTGCATCAAAATCTCAAGACGAAAATTTGGATCCCGATTTTTCAAATTTTTCTGATGGAACCCCTCGTAAAATCCGGGATTTCCATTTTGCCCCCAAACCAAGTCCATATCTTGGCCAATTTTTATCCGATCCTTGAGAGGAGTACCTTAAACGATTTGTAGTTTGATTCTGCTTCAATCTGCTTCAAAATCTCAAGACGAAAATTTTGATCCCGATTTTTCAAATTTTTCTGATGGAACCCATTGTAAAATCCGGGATTTCCATTTTGGCCCCAAACCAAGTCCATATCTTGGCCAATTTTCATCCGATCCTTGAGAGGAGTACCTTAAACGATTTGTAGTTGGATTCTGCTTCAATCTGCATCAAAATCTCAAGACGAAAATTTGGATCCCTATTTTTCAAATTTTTCTGATGGAACCCCTCGTAAAATCCGGGATTTCCATTTTGGCCCCAAACCAAGTCCATATCTTGGCCAATTTTCATCCGATCCTTGAGAGGAGTACCTTAAACGATTTGTAGTTGGATTCTGCTTCAATCTACATCAAAATCTCAAGACGAAAATTTTGATCCCGATTTTTCAAATTTTTCTGATGGAACCCATTGTAAAATCCGGGATTTCCATTTTGGCCCCAAACCAAGTCCATATCTTGGCCAATTTTCATCCGATCCTTGAGAGGAGTACCTTAAACGATTTGTAGTTGGATTCTGCTTCAATCTGCATCAAAATCTCAAGACAAAAATTTGGATCCCGATTTTTCAAATTTTTCTGATGGAACCCCTTGTAAAATCCGGGATTTCCATTTTGGCCCCAAACCAAGTCCATATCTTGGCCAATTTTCATCCGATCCTTGAGAGGAGTACCTTAAACGATTTGTAGTTGGATTCTGCTTCAATCTGCATCAAAATCTCAAGACGAAAATTTTGATCCCGATTTTTCAAATTTTTCTGATCCGGGGTATCTTGGCCAATTTTTATCCGATCCTTGAGAGGAGTACCTTAAACGATTTGTAGTTTGATTCTGCTTCAATCTGCATCAAAATCTCAAGACGAAAATTTTGATCCCGATTTTTCAAATTTTTCTGATCCGGGGTATCTTGGCCAATTTTTATCCGATCCTTGAGAGGAGTACCTTAAACGATTTGTAGTTTGATTCTGCTTCAATCTGCATCAAAATCTCAAGACGAAAATTTTGATCCCGATTTTTCAAATTTTTCTGATGGAACCCCTTGTAAAATCCGGGATTTCCATTTTGGCCCCAAACCAAGTCCATATCTTGGCCAATTTTCATCCGATCCTTGAGAGGAGTACCTTAAACGATTCGTAGTTGGATTCAGCTTCAATCTTCATCAAAATCTCAAGACGAAAATTTTGATCCCGATTTTTCAAATTTTTCTGATGGAACCCCTTGTTAAATCCGGGATTTCCATTTTGGCCCCAAGCCAAGTTCATATCTTGGTCAAACTTTATCCGATCCGAAAGTAGAATTCCCTAAACGATGTACATATAGTTCCATTTTTTTTTAAATTTTCATTAAATCTTGCCAAAAACATTTGTCTTAGTTTATTTTGCAATTTTTGTGTTAAACTATTTGAAAATTCCGGGATATTTATTCGTTTCCTCGGACGACGTCTTTTGCTCCCAAGCTATACAAAATAATAGATATAGAGTTTAAGTTTAAATAGATAAACAGCGCTGCCAGAAAGATGTAAGAGTCTGTCCATTTTTTCTGTGCCAACGTTTTGCAATACTACTTCTCAATGTTGGTCAACGAAATTTGAGCCCCGATAGGATTTTAAACACTTGTATATGGCTGGCCACTCTGGCACACTATTGTTCTAGTGCCAAAATGGTCAATTGGTGTATCAAAACAATTTGGCCACTGGCGCTATTGGTGGCTCTCACTAGTGCCTATAAACATGGTATGTCTTCGTCTGTTCTACGACGTAATGTATTCTAATGCCTCGTTCCAGTTCGCCTCCAGGATAACATGTGCTCGGACAAACTATTTCACACACTGGCCAAGCCTTTTCGGGGTGATCCGACTTTGCGACTGGAGTTCGATGATGACTCCGGGTCAATTGTGACACAGGCGTGGAATGTAACACTACCCCATGGACATGGTGGTAATAAGATCAAGTACGACTGCCACTTTAAAGTTGTGACTAATGAGCGCCTACCGCGTGGAATCTACACCATCATAACACGGCTCAAGTTTCGGCGGGATCCTGTGTCAAATAATTGCATCGACTATATTCAGTTCAGCAGCGGAAATCGGTCGCCAAGCGAGCGCATCTGCACGGACATTTCCATTGATGGACCCGCCGGACGGCTAATCTTTGACCAGCGGGACCGCGAAGTTAATGTTCACATATTCATCGACAAGGCTAGGCACATTCTCGGTGACCCCCTGGAACTGCGAATGGTTCTCACTGCCCACTCCGAGTGCCAGTTCAACGGCGACTTCTTGTGCAATCCCAATGACCAGTATTCTTGCATTTCGAGGCACTTCGTGCGGGACAACATCACCAATTGCCTATATCCATGTCGCGATGAGGGCACCTGCTTCCACGACGCTGTGGTACCGGAAGAGTACGACACTGCCAATGTGGCGATTTCGGCGCTGACATCGCTAATCTTCACCATGCTGGGCGTGGGGTTCTGCGTCTGGATCTGTTGGAAGTATTGGAACTGCATTACAGTACAGCAGCGGGCACACGAGGCCTCCGCCGCACGTTTCGATCAGCGACGGGCAAGGGTGAGTAGGCGCACTAATTTAGACGCTCCTTTTCATTATTTAATGGGTAACCCTTGTTTCCAGTCGGATGTACCCACCATAGAGTTGCCCTCAGGTCCGCAGTATGACGATGGTGTACTGTCCGAGCAAGATTCCCAACACCAGCATCCAGCGACACCGAAGGATCTGCCACCTAGCTACGAGTCCCTGTTTCCGGACAGATAAAGATTTGGGCCAGGATTAGTTCCGATTTGTTCCAGATCAGCAAGTACTTGGCATCGCACACTTGTTGTATTAGTCCTATTAGGTAATTTTATCTCTATCTAAACAGATCAGCATTCCATGTAAATACGATAGGACTGATTTTATGTTTTGTGATTAGCGTTAGCGATCGAACGTCTATTTTTTCTCAATGTGTGTTCACTACGAACCAAATCCGAAATACTCTTACCGAGAATCTCCATATTTTTACTGTTGTATATATTTAAGTTTTATTTTTCACACGTATATTTTTTCAATGTGTGTTCACTACTAATCGAATCCAAAATACTCTTACCGAGAATCTCCATATTTTTACTGTTGTATATATTTAAGTTTTATGTTTTTCAAAATGAGTATAGTGGATGTTTATCGTGCAGCTGTTGAAACTGCCTTTTGGCACGTCAAATTGTTTAATCACTGATGAATTTTCACAGAAATTATAATACTCTACAAATGTATCAATTATTTATCTAAGCAAACAATTATTGATAAGTAAGCCACAATGTACTCGTCACTGTATTAGCTAGCGTAAATATTCCAAGGTCCAGGCGTTCCATCTGAAAGGCCAGGAACCACTTGGCCAAGTATTCCATATAGTTGTACCTGTTTCTGTACTGCATAGACGTATGTATGTTATGTATACCACGCGCTTGTAGATGTCTTTGTTGTGAGCTCGGCCGAAAGTGTCAATTGTTTAATCGAGATTGTCGAAAAAAAGAATAATATTAGTAAGCACCTGTGCTCATGAGGATATGTATGAACTACAGTATTTACTCCAAATATGTAACTGCAATGAAAACGGAGAGATCCAAGCGAAGCAGCACGTTTGTGGTCAGTAGGTACTAAGCCAATTAACTCATATGTATACACACGCAACTCACTCAAATACGTATTAACTGATAAATAAACCAACTAAATCTCAAGTCGACCATGTCGAAAGTACAGGGGGGGAAAAGTACCTTGCCTCTGGCGATCATCCTCCCGCGGGTGCTGCGTTTCATCACATGGTGACACACATCGTGAATCAGCACGTGCCTTATCCGAAAACCAGTCGGCCAGGCCACCCTCCCGCCTTTCATTTGGAAGAAACCAATTATTGGTCACGATTAGGGGGGGTATGTTGTTGCTGCCACTGCGTCATCTTCGGTCTAATCAATTTCTTGGGTTTCTAACGTCACTGATTTTGATTTTCCTTTGTTACCAACGGATAGATCGCAACCAACGGATGCGGCACGTGCGGGGTCATCTGGCCGTTGACTCGGCGCAATTGACCAAACTGGTTATATCTGCGAGACAGCCATTCTGGCCAATCTGTGCCCCCGTTCAATGCCAGGCCACAATTGTCCAATTGCCTTGGGGCCACGGTGTGTGCGAATCAATTAGCGAATGCTCTGTCCTCTTGGCAACCGGTAGCTGGTCTACACATCCCCCTATCTAACGCCCAGGTGCCAATTTTAACACGCATACAATGGGCCGAAACGATCGATCGAGAGATCCATCAAGTTCAGGGTCACACGCATCAAATGGCCAATTGCGAGTCATAATCTGCTCACAATCAGCACTTGGCCTTAATTAGGGTCGAGTAACCGGCTAAGAAGTTGTTTGATTCCTTACCAATCGATCATCAGGAGTCAAGATACTGCCCCATATCGTCGAAATTTCACTCAATCTTCGTTCTGATGCTCGATAGCCGCCAAATCTTGAAATTCACACTGCATATTAGCGTCGTGGAGTGGGGCGTGTAGGTGCGACTTGGCCGAAACGATCACGCCCAAAAATAACCCTAATCAAAACGGCATTTCGGAAAGCTCTTTCTGTGCTGTGGAGCTGCCGCCGACCCAGATATATATTTTTAAAACAAACTTTTAAGCGGGACCTTAGCTGTATGCGTTAGTTTAAATTTAAACGAATATACTGGCACGATTTTATGGAGTTTATAAAGGTAAAAAATAAACAAAAATATTTGCAAATTTGAGGCGTAAACACGCACCAACAAAAATATCACCTAAAAAGGTATTGGATGTCCTATCAATTGATCATTTTCAGGAGTGATAATTTTAACAAGTCAATAGAATATTTCACATAAATATTTTCCAATTGATTAATAATAACGGACCCTAATGGCGCAGTTCCTTCAGCATCCTGTATAGAAACAGGATATCAGTGTGGGCAAGTAAATGTCAAAAAGCTATAAATAGAAAAACAAACTTATAAAGCTCTCGTATTTAATATTATTGTGTAAAAACCGCAGAATCCAGAGCCAAACCCGCCTCCAGCCATTCATGGGGCTTGCGGTGGCGACAATCGCACCTCTGTTTGATGTTTTGGCCAGCAATTAGATACGCCGCTCTAACCAATAGTAGGAATTACTTTCACGCCAAGCGGAGAGCGGGAAGCAGCCGTCCAGACCGCGTGACTCATACGCACGGGGGGCCAGGCCACACAAAGACGCAGAGGAAGCACAGCAAAAAAATCAAACGAATCAGCAAGACCAGCTCCAACTAAAAGTTGTGGGCAAAGCAAGCGACTGGTTCAGTCTGCGATACACAGTCGAAGCTGCAAGATCGATCCGCCGGAACCGCCAGGTCCCGTCCAAGCCCGAGCCCAAGTTCAAGCCCGAGTCAATTGCCGGTGTACGGTGCCATTTCCCAGTGAAGTGAACGATTTATGGAAATTTATTGATTGCCATTCAGGCCGACAAGTGTGTGAATAAAAATAAAAACAAATAAGTGAATACCTTTAAAATGGAATACAAGCGACCAGCTCCGATCCAGACAATGCTGTTAATTATGATAGGTGAGTCTCGGACTGCCGGCCAGGCCTTCTCAAGCCAACATACATATGAATAGCTATATAAATATATATAGAAAAAAAACATTAAATCCAGTTTCCGACGAGCATATGCTAATTATGTGAACGCGAACTTCTACAAGCCCTCGCTGATTGCAAATAATTAAACCATTAATTAACATTTTCATTTATTTATTGACCAGAGATTGCTTGATTGGTTTTCGTACCCCTATAATTGAACTTTACAATATACTAAGTGGTGTTTTGCAAAGTAATCCCAGAGCAAGTATAGCTTGTATTATCCAGTAAGCCCGTAATTCCCAAATGGGTTATCAGCCAAATGTAAATCTTGGTAATAATAACCAAAATGAGTGTTTGAGCAAGTTGAGCCGTCATGACCATATTCAGACATCATTCAGACATCGTAAACCAGTTAACGAAGTCTTTACGAGGCCCGTCATCAGCTAATCCCCGGTAGATAAGATCTTCAGTTAGGTGACATGTGATCGTCTAATAAATATCATACAGGCATAGCCTGTGTCCTCATTTCGGGTGTCACTTTCCTAGAAGAAGGGGGCTCGCAATTTCCCGGCCTATATGGGAACCGGTTAAAAGTAAAGCAGCGGCAATCCCCTAGTCTTTATGACTAATGACGTTGTTAAGTGAGGTGCTGCTCCACTACCTGGCTAAGTGGCAACAATGGCTTCAAATCACGGAAATTCCCGAAAATCGACTTTCTTGAGTAGAAAGCCAGTTCAAGGTAAACGGAGTTCGCTTTTATTTGTAATGCGAATTTACATTTAACTCGAGCATATAAAGGGGAGATAATGATACGGGTACCCATGAAATTCCGTCACCATCGGCTTAATTTGCACAGGTGGCCCTACCCCACCACTTGCACCGCTGGAACTGCTGACGTTGGACCCAGCACGTTTGGCCATTAGTAGCTAATTAGAATTTAATTGCTAATATTTTGTTTTTGCTGCTGGCTTGGCATTTTAGCGTGTTGCGCGGTGTTTGCACGCGCTTTCCTGCCACCTTATCAGCGCCCACTTGCCACTCCATAAATAACTTACCCCCACTCCACCAATTTATATCCATTAAATTCTTGAAGCCATACTTAGCACACCCATTTATATTTAGAATTTATTTAAAAGAGTTTCTACATGGAGCCAAATATCAAGTTCGTGTAGAACTGGAGCAGGGTTGTTGGGGTTTCTACTTGTAATGGTTCAAATAAATCTTTGCCTTTTGGACTAACAAGATAATGTTTGTATGCTGGGTCAGCTTGCCTCGAGACTTGTTTTTTATCAACATGGAAAATATTTTGATAAGATGAAAGATTCCATTCATCTAATTTGCCTCGGGACCTGAATTTTCACATGACTATCTGCTCAGAAAAGATTCCCTTTCCAGTTTAATGGCTGTTTTGATAAGTTTCGGAAACGTTTTAAACCGAAAATAACTTTGTTTTGCCATTTATCTATTTTTAAAAGATTTGTCTTGACAACAGGGCGTATGATTATTTCGGTTTCAAAACGTTTCCTAGATAGACCCCAGAATAAGTCATTGTGGGAATGACGGGCTGCTTCATCCCCAACCTAGGTCAACAATATTTGCTTGATTGCGGGACCGAAATTTCATCAGTTTTGTGGTGAAATTGATAGGCGAAAAGAGCGGCAATCAAGTAATTATTGACAGACATTGTAAAGATACAATTTTCTGAATAATGATTGTGTGCCGTGTGCTGTTATGACTCCGCACCCAACCAATAAACGTGGATGGTTGGTAAGAAAAAAATAGGAGGCCTACACCACCTTCCTTAGTTAAATATGGCCACCGCGAAAGAAGTGTGCAGAACGCTGTCTTGTCATCGAATGGTGTTATTCTTTTTGAAAAAGATAAAGAAAACGCAACATTTTATTGGCGGCAGCTTAACTGGGTTTATGGTGTTTGTGTTTTGATGGCGAAAAATATTTTCCAAGTCGCTGCTGGGTTGGAATGGTAAACAATCTATGGCTAAGCACCTACCCCACTAAGCCCTACCGGCTAGAGGTACTATCTATCCATATGTGAGCGGGGAAATATCCCAAAAACCACCTCAGACACTGAGTCGGCGGTGGGGACTCTTATCGTCAAGTGGCGGAGTGGTCGTAAAGCTAACCACTAGATTGGACCTGCTTAATTAACGATTCATTTATGGGGGGAACGCCTCTCTAGAAGTGTCTATTTTTAGATCGTCTTATCAGCCCAGATTGGAGCTGTTATAATGATGGTACTATGCCTAGCATTCTCCCACCTGAAATTCAGAAAGAAAATCTATGCCGTCGCATGGCGGCGAGATAAGCTATCTAGGATCGCTTTCAGTGAGCTCACCGCTCCGTCTTGATTTCCAGATATCGCCACTAATACCTCCCATCCGCTCCGTTCCCTTCCATTCCATACCGATTCGATTCGATGCGGTTTGGTTTGGTTCGGTGTGGGCATTTCATTCCATTTCAGTGCTCATCGCCTGCTCGTGCAGCGTACACGGTCAGTCCTATCTCTTCAGCCTGGAGAACTTCCTCAACGAGTCGTCCCGCCTGCAGCCCCACAACCTCACGTCCTCAAACGGTACTTCGGAGGCGGACCTTTTTCCCGAAACCATCACGAACAACACACGGATAATTGTCTACAAGAACAGTAAGTGTCCTTTCAAACTAAGAGGATTCGTTAACCATTATCCGACCTAATATGAAAATGTGTCTTCAAAAAATATATTATTTGTTACTACATTTCCTGTGGAATTAAAATTGGCAACGTATGTTAACCTCTATTATCCGTCTAAAACTAATTTGAACTGATAAAGACTGATAAACTTTTGTTTATATCCATTAGTGACACTTAACCTATCTTATCACATTCAAATTCGATCAGCTTAGATACTTCGGGTAACTATGTAAATCTGGTAGTGCTTTCCAAGTACAAAGGTAACTCTAGAAGCTTATAGAAGTTAAATGAAAAGATCTGTTTACACAGCATCTCATGTAAACATTCCTAAGAAGGTTCAAGAAGCCTTTGCTGATCTTGGTTTCATAACTGGTAATATCTCTATTATACCAGTAACCCTTAGAGCCAGCAATCAAAACAACATTTCTGTTTAATTGGCGGGCTTTCAACTTTGGTTAGGGACCCGATCGAATTTCCCATTTGGCCATTAGCGTAGTTCGATGACGAGACAGTTATGCGATTCCAGCAGTTTCGTCATAAATTTTATTGGACCCAGACCCCTAATTCGTGACTAGAAGCACAAACAGCAATCAACAGTTCGAGTAGATGATAACCAGAATGTATTAGGGAGTACTTAGAAATCGGTGTTACTTTTCTATTAAATTTATTTTATTTTTATGCAATTTTTATTTATAATTGTATGGGGTTTTGACTTTCTTATTATTTTTTTCACATGGTTGCGAAATGGTCCATCTGCGGTTTAGACTTTGAATTTTATTAACGAATTCTTTTTCATTTTAGCCGTTGTCGAATCCAACGATCTATCCCAGACAGCTATGGATGTGATCACCATTGTGTGGTATGTGGCCACCTTCCTGGCCCTGGCTGCCTTCTTCATGTTAATGGCCTGCTCGGACCGCCGATGCCGTGACATGCGTCGTCGTCCCGCTGGAGGACAGTCCACGGAGGGATTGAGGGCACCGCCCACCCCCTCGCCGTCGTACAGTGAATTCGCACCGCCCAGCTATGATACCGTGATCAAAAGGCAGCATGCGGCCAAGACGAGCGTGTTTGTTATACCATTCAACAGCAAGGGCGGTGAACTTAGTGCCCCGCCTGCCACACCGCCGCCGCCACCGGCACCGGCAGTTACCTGTAGTGTAATTACAGTTAATGAACTGCAAAAGTCGGCCAACTAACCGATAAGCAGCAGGTTACGCCATTGAGTGGCGACCTGAGTTTTGCCAACCACCCATCTCTGTGATATTTGCTGTTTTACGGCAGTTAGCCAAGTAATTGTTGCCGTGTAGGATTACCCTGAAAAAAGACTGACAATGAAAGATATCTGTTTGTGCATATGCATTCAAATGCCAGTTCAACTGAAATTAGATGAATAACTAACTAATGTAATAAATATAAAATTGAAAAAATGTATAAGCACGAGTTTGAAAAGTGACTCATTGGGATGGGGACTTTCTGTTTTTTAAGAAATGGGGTTTCGCACTGCTTAGCTTCGTAATTGATTGAACCATTCAATTTGGTGGAACAATCTGGTAACTTTGCGCCCCAAAGCTGTATCTTGTATCTGAACCGTCCAGACAAAGCTTTTTACAAAAAAAAACCTGACACAGAGCTTTCACGTCTCAACTGATAACAGCAGAGTTCAGGGGATTTTTCTGTTGTGGGGCTGCCACTTGAATTTAAAAGGTAAATATTACGTTATCAGGGGATCCGGAGACAGATTCTGATTAATCCCACTCCATGAAACCTTGTTAAAAAGGTCAATGAGTTAAGGGGTTATTTATCTACCTGGGTGCATCTCGGAATCATGATAAAAATATTGATAAAATAAACAATCGAAGGTCAGGCATTTAGTTCATTCATTGGATCGTTTCCACTTAATTTCCATTCTAGCTTCTGTTGTTTAGATCCGATGAAGGCAACACATCTGGCAGCGGGCTTCCAAAAAAACATTGTTTCTGGGGCATTGCGGCGTATGCGTAATATGTATATTTTGTTTATTTTTCACACACAAACTCGTATTTCATACAAATTGTTTTGGAAAATTACACAAACAACGCCGATAAGAAGGGAAGGGAATGGGAAGTGTTTGTCTGCCAAAACCAGATCGGATTGCAGAAAAATCACGTTAGGCCCCGCTCAATGCGGTTTATTAAATGCAAACCATCTCGTTATTCGTTCTCTGGTTGTTTTTGTTGTTTTGTTCTTGGGGCCGTTGATGTTGTTCTTTTGGGTGATGATCGCTGATTGGTGCTGGTGGCGTCCCATTCATTAAGTGATCTTGGCTACACGCAGAAAATTTTAATCATGTCACAAGATATCCAATTAGGTTTAATTGATTTGTTTTTTTATGTTTTTATCAATGTTTTTAGCAATAAGAAACTAAATGTTTAAAAACTCCAAAAAAAGCTTGTAAAAAACCTACAGATATGTTCATTCAAATTTAACATTTAAATCTTAACTATATTTTTTTGTAAACTATTTGAGCTTCATGGAAGAGTTACTTCCTGTTGTTCTCTGTGTGTCAAATGAAGCCAAACTCAGAAATTCTGACTCAGAATTGGCCAATTTTCTAACTCTCACGCTCTTCAATTGATCTTAGCTTCCTAGAGGACCCCACTCTCCACCACGAAACTCCCCACAATCCGTTTCTCAAGCTTCCTCTATACCGCGCTAGTGGCCTCTCTCTGTTAAAGTGTGTGCGTGTGTGGCCTGGCGGTTGTGCAAAACGCTTTCTCTTTCCCTCTCTCAAACATCGGACTATGGGGCCCATGGGGCTCGCACTATGGGTTTTGAATAGCTTATAACCTTCTCGATTTGTGACCATAAATATCCGATCCAACCCTATGTATTGTACTTTGGGATTTTAATTAGTTAGTTTTTATTATTTAAAAAAAAATAACTAAAAAATTATAATAGAAATGATATGAAAAAAACCGACTTTTAAAAAAAGTGGTTTTGTCCAGACAATATGTTCATTGGCCCCATGGTGCAGCGTTTTTCTCTCAGCGGAATAGTATTTTTTCGTTGAAATACATCGGCTGGGGATCAGTTCATCGTAACCAGCGCCATCGAACGGAAGTAATCCACTAGTGACTAGTGATCGAAGAACAAACCTGAAAAGTGCCTGAAACCAACAAAAAGCGCATCGCAGCGAAGTAACGAATATCAAGTATACGCCACGTACAAAGAGCCGAAAATGTCGCTGAGGAAGAGCCTGCTGCTGGGCTGCCTGCTGGTGGCCACCGCAACAACTATGCTGAACTTGGCCGCCGCGGACATTGACACAAACATTGTGGATGACCCCGATGTGTACAGTAAGTGTGCCAATTCTTCGGACTGTGATCAAACGGACTTGTTGCTAATTACCCTTTGAAACCGCAGTGCTGCAGGGTGTGCGCGTGTATCCCAACGATCGACAGTGTGTGCTGGTGGGCGGACTGTGTGTGGCGTCGAGCGATTGTGTGGAGCCGACCACCAACAAGGGTCTGTGTCCCTCAAGCTCCGCCCACGGCGTGGAGTGCTGCTACGAACGTGAGTATTTTGATTGAAAGATGTCCTGCCTAAAGTCCGCATACAAATAACCCAATACCATACTGCCATCAGCTCGAAAAAATCCCTCTTTGTAATTGGTATCTTTTGTAATTGAATTAACTTTAATAACCTGAATCCCACATCCATTTTTGTCTGTCCCACCACCACGTCCACGAAACCGCCAAATGTCATCCTCCCGTTGCCGTTGCAGTGCCGGTTAGACCAGCGCCCTGCGCGCAGCACTTTGGAGAGTGCATGGACCGATGCCACCATAGGCTCCTACGACCTGGTAACGATTGCGAAAATGGCCAAGTCTGCTGTGTCCTGATTTAGTAATACACACATTCTCACATCCACAACCCAATACACGAAACATCCAAGCAACCAGATAGAGGATCCCATAAATGTCAGTATCATAATATTTTGAAGTTTGTAGTTTTTTTTAAAGAGCAAGTCTTTATTTAATTTCAAATTATTTATAGGATGATTAGTCATCAAAAATTCGCTTGAAAAGTTTATTTAAAAAATTCAAAGATTAAACTGGTATTGATACATTGTTTCTGTTCTCTATCTAAACATCCTCACTTATATACATACACCGTACATTAACATGTATTTATTTAACTATATACTGTATATTAATTATATTGTACGAATACCTTTGTGCGACATGTTAAGAGTCCCCCTCCCCCCATCCACAATAATCCCCCGAGTGAAATATTTGTCTGCTTCCAATAAATGCATTGTAAATATTTTCCAAAACTAATTCGAGTTTCGAGTCAAATCGGAGGATGATGTAAGTATTGGTTCGGGTCAGCTGACAGCTGGGAAGCGAGTCTAAGTCGTCTTATCGGCCGGAGTTATGCCGTCACGTGCCCCCAAGTACAGTTGTGTGACCACAAGAAGGGGAGTATGACTTCCCAGTCTGGGGAGACGGCGGGAAAAAACAAAGCGTGAGATCATAAGATGGAGGCTAAAAGCAAAGCTTATCGCCAACCAGATTCAATGTCAAGTTCAGATGCCACAAAAACAAAAAACATTTAATTCGTCTTTGGACACAACAGAATATGTCTATATTTTTGGTTGAATATTTGATTAAAACATACATTGGGTTCCAAAAACAGTTCTAACAGCGAAAATAAACGACCTTGCGCGAGGCGCAAAGATATATCTGTTGGATCCGACACGATCTCCCGCCTCGTCCATGTGCCGGGCATGGGGTTTGTTTTTCTGTACTCTACGCTATGCTGATACACATTTAATGTTTATATCTTTCGGTTATGCATGATTTCATTGCTAATGTTTGAGCGCCTATTCCATTCAGTTATTTATAGTTATAGGCTCTTGGCTGTGGTCGGCGGGGTCACTTCAGTTTAGTTCGTTTTGGCCAGTGCTCTTGAGTTGAATGAATCCGTATGCAAGGCGGCATTGAGGCGCCAACATGTGTCTATAAGTATTCAATGGACTGCTTGAGTATGGTAGATTCCTCCAGCAGATGGGACCAGTTCTGGAGTAATGTGGTCCACTCTGGTTAGCTTGGGGAATCTAAGAACTCTGAAGAGCAGGTGCTTTTCTGTGCATTACAAGTGGCAATCAACGAGAACGGGAAGTATCTTAAAGATACAATTTGTGACCTTCTGGTGAGTGAATTGCATCACTCTCGCTGCACACTCTCGCTTTAGAGAATTCAGTGTCAGTGCCACATGGCAATTACCAGGCCCAATTCATTTAACCCGCCAATGCCAGTGACAGTGAAAACTACAAGGTCTCCGGCTGTCTGGACACTGCTCGGTCTATATAAAATTAAGTCTTGGGAACTATGTAACATCTTGACGTGTGCAGTTCCCGCTTTAGTGTACTATATTAATAGGCAATTGAATAGAAAGCACACTTTACTGCGTCTTAGATTGCATAAGCTATGCAGTAATCCCTGGAAATCATTCGCGATTGAACCCGAACTCGAACCCGAACCCAAGCCCAAAGAAACTAGACAACAAAAGTATAAAAAATTGGTGGCAAGCCGAGATTGGACGAAGTTCGAAATTGCCATAATATTTTCTGTGTTTTGTTAAGTATTTTAATTTTTTTAGGTACTTACCGCACATACATAAAAGCAGTTCGTGCTTATCGGGGAAGCTCATCATCATCGGGTCTGTCACATTATAAATTATTTATATATATGGGGTTTTTCAGTGTGTTTTTTTTTTGCGCGTTTTGTTTACGTTTTCGATTTCGTTATTGCGAGAGACTGAAACACACATGTACTTACAATATATGTAGACACTGATACGCCCTCTAAAAGCTAATCCGAATTTTTGCGTTTATTTGCCTGGCATTCGCACCACAGAGAAACTAATAAAACTTTTTGTGGCGCAGAAGGCTCTTCGGGATATGCTCGTATTTCATATTTCATGTCATAGTTCGCACTCATTTTTCACTTGACATAAAGCTGCCTTTGCGTCTCATGGCCCGGGGACGGTGCAACGCAATTTGCATCTCCACTCCGCCTTCATCCCCCGTCACTTTTTTTTTTTATATTTTGCACTTTTTTTAATTCTTGTTTTTTTCGCATGTGGCTGGAGAGTGTGGAGGGTATAAAAGAAAATGATTTTGTGGCATAAATTAACGCCAAGAGGCACACGGAACACTATTAAAAAATACGGATCCGCCAGAGCACACATGCCATCGTCGTCCTGACGACTGAAGCTGGGACTGTGGTGGAGCCTGGGCCTCGTCCTGGCCAAGAGGATGTGGCAAGTCAATGGCTTATGGTAAGGCCAGGATATTCACTTCATGGCCGCGTGCACGTCATGTTGTCGGGAGTGGCAGGAGACGGTGCAGCTTCTCATGCAATTAATCCTTTTTTCCCACCCCTTTTCCATTCTCTCATTTTTCCAGCAAAATGGCTTTTTAAGTCAATTTCTTTGCGTCGAGACTCTTTATTGGCCCGCCCCATAAATTGTAGGGCAACTTCAAGTCGAGTGCCTCTGAATAATGTCAAATTATGCCATTCATCATTAAATATGTATGTCTGAAATAATACCATATATTTTTGATGGCTTCAAGCACTAATTGGCACTGTGATTTTAGCTGGATTTTTAGTCATAAATTATTTTGCTTAGCTTTTTTTCCCCCAGTTTTTTGTGAGGATCAACAGGTCGGGCAGTGTTTTGTTTGCTGCCAAATATTTGGGTTAGTTAAGCCCGATTTAATGGCCCGCACAGTGTCAACAAGCAATCTCGTTCCCCTGTACCCCTTCGAAAACATTTCGTTCTAAAAATATAGACCAGACTTGTGTTAAGGATTAAGCATATTTTGGAAATATTCTTATTTGCTTCTCGTGTGGCTCTCGACCATCTTATGAATTTGAATTTGGATGCAAATTGATGTGCAAATGGCAGGAAATAAAATTACACAAAATCCTTTGACACAAACAGAGTCCGGGAGGGGTGAACACCATCTGGCACACTTACCTGAACCACCACCCCTTTTATTTCGAGTAATATCATTAGAAGCGAGTAAGTGAAAGTGAAAATGAAAATGTTTTTCCTCAACCCGATGAGGCAAAGGTTTTCCGGAAGATGTCGTTCCTCCTTTTTGATGTCGGAGGCTGTCAGGTGGGAGACCTCTTATTCCATGTAAGACGCCAAAGAGTTGCCACAAAATTAGACGCAAATTTTTGGTTGTATTGTAGCCACACCAACGTACTGACCCGCAAGGCGTATATACCCCGGTTTTTTTTGTTTTGTACTCCTAACGGGATTAACCGCAATTTCTTTAATTAAAATTTCCATCACTCCCGGTGTGGCAGGATGGCTGGGATGGGGCATGGTTGGATGTTTCTAAGCGGGGCAAAAAGAAAAAGGATTGTAAATTACGCTGTCAGTCACTCAGTCTGTCAACAACAATTAAAACGGGAAGCAACAGCAACAAATTAAAAATTCATCTTCCGCATATCCCATGATTTCTGCCATGTCTTTTTATATCCTTTTCCCTGACAACAGACTACCATTCTAGCAGGCAATCCTTTTCCGGGGATTCTTGATGAGGTCCCTTTTTTTCTAATTTGATTGGCGCTTCTTGGTGCAGTGCTTCCTGTTTTTCTTTACTTACCACCTTGCTCCTTGATCAGCCCCGGGTCTAGAGGGGGTTAATTATTTTTTATTTTCGGATATTTGTTCAAGGCCTGCAATCATCCCTGGCCAACTTATATCTTTCTAATTGAAACCTAATTTTCCCATTTTTTTCGGCAGCCCTTTGCCCTCAGGTGGTTGAAGTATTCTTTTCTCCGAAATTACATTCCTTCTATAGTAGATATCCACATTAATATTAAGAAATACTTCACCATATCACACATCCTTGGGAAACCACACTCAAACACTCTTCCTTTTGGACTCTTCCGAGTCTTGGAGTCGTGCAACTTTCTGACTTTTGTTGTGTGCAAATAATTTGCAGCTCGTTCGCTGGCGTCATTAACAATGTAGAGGGGAAGTGGCAGAAAGTTTTATCTAATTAATGAAACTTCAACGCAACGTCAGAAGGCAGGACAGGAGTCAGGACTCAGGACGCAAGGCGCAGGGGATCTCTTTGCTTTTCGGGGAGCAGCCATCGCGCCAAATTCCCTCCTTGATGTCATATTGTTGACAGTGACGATACTGCTCGGGCGCGTACAACGTGGCGTATGATTGCTTTTGTGTAAACATCCAGCGCGGGGGCTATCCCCCCGTCTATAGTCATACATAGAGATGTATATCTATGTCGCTTTTTCGGTTTTCCATTTTTCATTTTTCGCTTTTCATTTTTTTGCTTTCTTCCGTCAAAAAGTTTTTTAATTAGCAACAAAAAGTAAAGGGTTAAATATCGCGTCGAAAAGTTTCGGCAAGCTAACAATTAAGTTTCGGCAGTGCCGCTGACACGCCCCCATACCGCCCACGACCCTCGAAAACCAGGAGGGGACCACGAGGAGGCGCGAGTGCAGATAATGAGTATTAAGCAACACTTACTCGCAATTAAGTTTCGCCTCTCCTGCGTCCTTCTTTGTTGACTTTTTTCCGGGCTGTAATTACGCGTAATCGCAAAATTAATTCCTGCACATGACTGCACTGCTCGTCAGGACGAGCCGTCACTATCCATGATTTCAGGACACAGCTGCCATAACCCGGAGCCAAGTCGCGGACAATGGCTGGCGTGTTCGGGAGGGAAATAGAACAACTGGCTGGCTTTCGCAATCAAGTGGAAGATAAAACTCTATAATATTCATGAGATTTGGTTTATGAAGTGCTAACAATGCGTAAAGATATGACCAAAATGGCCACAATAAGGAGCGCAATGTCAGGTGAAATACCCGAGTTTTTCCTCCTAACTGTGTTGACCACAAAAGTTCTTGGCTTTCCTTCTAATCTGTGCTCTTCAAAGAAGGGGTCTGTTAGTTATTTCTTTAAATAGTTCTGAATAAATTACTGAAATTTGTCCTTAAAGATTACTTCTTCATGGATTCAATTATAGGATATATACTAACCTATATTCTATAAAATAGAGCTTCTTAATCGTAATCCTCTATTAACTATTTTTCGAGGGCCATAGAATATACAAACTTCGTTATTGTCCAAGTGAAATTTCGACATTATGGACTTTCTTCTTACCTAGTCCTGTCCCGGGGCCCCGCCCCACGCTCTTTTTTTCTCAACTTTTTCTTTGGCTTGGCAATTTTTCACTTTCGCAAGATGGCAGCGCATTTTAATGAGCCACCGGACCAGCGGTCA